TAAGGAAGGGGAAATAATTTCTTATCTTCTGTGCAGCATAATATATTACCAATATAGTAATTGATAGTCCTTCTCCCTGAGGATTTCTAAGTTCATACTGTGAAAAATAGTAAATATTCTGATGAAGTAAGAAATTTCTTAATAAATCAGGCAAACTCATTTAAAACTGTTTGTTAACAATGCAATGTAATGGTCAGCCAGCAGATGAAGAGCAATAATAATAATAATAATTTGCCTCAATACAGACAGTATTGTGTTCCGAGTTTAAGTTAAGGGGCAAGTACCTTGGGAATTTGTTTAAAAACAAAACATTAATTGTTGTTTTATGATTTTTCTTAATACCACTTTACCTGTTTATGCTGATTAGTTTTCAATAGTTATCATATTAACAGCCTGTGATGAAGTTGATCATACAGTCTTTTTGTATTACTTTGGAGAAGCTGACAATACAAATGGAGTAAGTTTATAAAGGTTCCTTTCCCAAAGAGAATCAGACAAAACAAATACCTGCATCATTCTCTTTTATGTAGATTCTTAAAGTTAAATAATCTCTTATTAATCAGAATACTTGGATCTTCACAGAAATATGCCTACTTTAACTAAAAGTGCCTTTTGTAAAGCCCAATTCAGATAACTTTATAATACACAATACAAGATGGAACTTAAATTAAGGTAAATTTAACAGAGAAAATTATCATGGGAATTAGGAGACTAGAGAAATTGATCCATGTGGTGGTTTAAAAATAAAATAGTGTAAGAGAACAACAAGAAATCTGAGACAAATTTCACTTTTATCCTAATTATGCAAATTCCTGACTTTGGAGGTACTTCTAAGCAGTATCATAACTATTAGAAGTACTACATTGCCATGCTTTAGTCTATAACCTTTTTTTCCCTGCTTTTTAGTAATGGAAAAGTACTGGAATGTTTTTCCCTGAAATTATTTATTTTTTCAGTAGATATAATAGTTCTCTGATTTACTGTTGGTTGACACATATACTTTCATTTTCTATCTGTATCTTTGCTGCACCGCAGACAAATTGATCTGTTCTAGGTGGGGCATGGTATACAGGAGATGTAGGAATGGGCTGAAGTATCCTCTATATTTACCTTTGTATCTAGGGCAGTTGAAAATAGGCAAGAATGGAGAGAAATTTTGTATGGCAGTGCACAGAATTTTGCAAGTTTAATGTGAGCCCTGCAGCAATCCGATGCATGTTAGTTATTGGTAAGTTTATTAAATTCTGTTTAAAAAATTGTTCATCTTAGAAGACATTCTTCTAATTAATATTATTTCCCCTCTGTCAACAACAACCATTTTAAAAGCATGATTTTGGCAACCTGGTTCTGCTGATAAAAATTTTTACATTTCAAATCTTCAGGTTTAATTTCTTTTCAGCTGCCAAGGTGACTGCATAAATTGGCTATCCTCAGAAATTGTTAAAAGTTCTGGATACAGTCCTCTGAATTAGACAGACTAAATTCTTAGGATGCAGTATTGAGAAGAAGAGATCCATTACATCAGTATGGATTTTTATATCTAGATACACACACTTAAATGTTGGCTGAGTTCAGTCTGAGCATGTGGGGAAAGAAAAGTTTTGAAGAGGTTTGGAAAGTTTATCTGAGAATTGTTAACTGTTAGGTCTTTTTCAGGCAGATTGAATGATCTCTAGCATAAATTGAATGATCTCTAGCATACCTTACAAGGTAGAAAATATAACATGTAAAACCAGTGTTGCGTGTAACAACTGTTACTTAGTGCGGCTATTCCTCCTTTCTCTCCCAAAAAGAAGCTTCACCTGAAACAAGTGTAAGCAACCTCTCTAGAGAAAAAAAAACACAAACCACAAACACTACACAAAAAACCAAAAAAAAAATACTCGAAAAGAAAACCAAAAAATCAACCCCTCAGACTAAGCATATAATCTGTTTTCTGCCTAGCTCTGATCATCATCATCTTCAGGGACTAATAACTTCAGTACTGTACATGCCATGAGAATTTAAAAACATTTCCATTTTGATTTTATAGTTCGTCTAGTAGTTAAAATATTACAGATCTTTTACTTACTTCATTTCCTGCGTAATAACATGGACAAACTGCTAAATTTAATTATAATGCTATTTTTTATCAATACTGTGGTCCTATATAGTATTCATCTCAAACTTCATTGTGCCTCTGTGTGCCTGCCAGATGGTTCTCCTTAACTGCTGCTTTTTCTGGTACTTGGATTTTTTTAATGTGCTTGAAGGTGTAATGATGCATTCACATGTGCTATCCCAAGATTTGAATTACTATATACTACAGTCAACTGTATTATTTATGGTGGCAATCTCAGATAATGCAGAAGGATTAGAAGCTAGAGTTACTGCTTGCAGACCTGAGATGACTCTGCAGAGCTGAGTATCTTTATGTGTCTGGATTGATATATGTTAAAAGCCATTTGGGAATTATGTAAAAGCATAGCTCATTCACAAAGGTATTGGCTGAATTAATACATTTTCCTGGAACTAGAAACACTTGGCATCACTTTACAGTAACAACTAAGGTAGCTCTGTGCAGAGCTAATGTGGGTAGGCAAAATTAATTAGTTCAGCCATAGCCCACATAAAGATGGTTAATATCTAAAAAGTAATATTTGGACTCTGCCTGCATCTGAATTATTACACTTTTTTGAGTTGGTCTTTCTTACACAGAACCAGCTTGTCTGTTTCTGTGTCTGTGGCATGGTTAGGTATAAGCTGGTCACTGATTCACTGATTATTTCTGAGTTGACTTGTGGTTTTTGTGTTCTTAAATAGAAGTAAAGAGGAAGTGTGTCTTATAACTTGCATTTAGAATCCTATCAGAAGTTCTAACAGTTGTATAGAGATTGTACTGATATAAGAACAGTTCAAGCCCATGACTTTACATCGAAATTCATAGAATAGGCAAGTAAACTGCAATACAAAGAAAAGGGCTTTTGATAAAGTACTTGTGGAATGAGATTCTGTTAAACTTAAGTCTGGTGGCATGGTAATGGTAAACTAATCTTTTAAATCCATTTTAAGAATATTTTTGACATTTCAATATAATATTAATAGTATTTGATATTGTAATTTAGATTCTAATCCTGTAAAGATGTATGCTTTTTCTTAACTTTGTGCATAATGGGTGGTTGTCCTAAGTTATAAGGTTATTCATAGAGGTTGGTAGTAAGCACCATCTATCCATATGAAATTTTCTTTGACCTATTCAATTTAAAAAAAATATTTTCTAAATATAAAGCTTCAACCCTTTATATGATCTTCTTATGGATTTTCATGTAGTAAAAATTATTAGGATCTTATTTTATATGACAAATACAATAGAAACTTTTGGTCAGGGTAAGAAAAAACTGATGCATACAACCTGGTTTGATATTGATGTGACAGCTTGACGGGCTGTTTTGATAAAAGCTTTGGAGTACTGTAAATGGATATTATCTGTGTTCTTTTACTGCTGACACTCTGTGGAGCATTCTGTATGTGATTTTAGATGGATTATTATGACCATTCAACAATAAAGCAAGACAAGGCACTATTTCATGTTCACAGCATGTACTTTGGCTACACTGTGTACTTTATGCATGGCAGCCTTGCTCAACAAATAGAATAAATCTTGTTTTCCTCAGCACATTGATTATTTTTTGGTACTGGCATGGATTAACCAGTCTCAACATTTATTTCAAAGTAAAAGATTTTATTTGGAGAGCAAGAGAACCTTTAGATGACTAGATACTGTAAGTAAAGTTGAAATTTATAAAATGCGGGTTGGACATTTCCTTTAATTCACTTTTTCGTGGCTGCTACCTATGTGAGAACTTTCATGGTTGCAGATACTTGTCTGTACAGCTAGGAACTATTACACCTATTTTATTTTCAGAAAAGGAATAATGACTTTATGTATGCATTGTATATGCACTACAATGCATTCTTTCATCTATCTTTTTGAGATGTTTGAAAAATAATTTTAAATATTTCCTTTCTGTTACAAATATAGTTTGTTTCTTTATTTTTCCCTTTCCTCTGGTTTTTTGCAACAGCGTATTTATGTTTCACTCTCATCACCCAAGAATCAGTTGTGATTTCCCTCCCCCCCCCCCCCAAAGTTGCATTGATATGTTTCCATTGCAGGTTTTCATAACAGTTTCATGTTCTTGTCAATTCTATCCCCTGAAGTCTTCATAGCTCTTCTGTTTCTAAACTGTAACCTTCTCTGAACACTTTTTTTCCCTCCCTGTGCTTTATGAACACTTCACTTAAAGATACTGCTGGGATGGGCTGCTGGGCGATTTCCTTGTGACCTCTAAAGTGTTTCTGTGCTTTCCTAACTGGATGAAAAGTGATCCTCAACTTTTATTTGGTCAGACCTAGATATTATTCCTCTCTTTGGTCTGAAGAAAGTATGAAAGAAGCTCTCCACCCTGCTCTTGTTTCACTGTCATTTGTGGTGGGCATTATTGCCCATGTGCATGTTCAGCCATTTAATGCCTCATTTCTGTGGTAATAGTGACTCTAGGGACGGAAGTGTGGAATGATGACATACCTAGTGGCTGCAAATTTTGCTGTTTAGCATAGCTAGTGTAGATGGTAAATTGTTTGACACGATTCCTGCTTGCATCTAAACACTGTCAGCTGGATCCCACAGCATCTCCTGCCTCTTTCAACTGCCAAACTTTTGGCTAGAACTGCAAGCTCCCAGACTGGATATTTAAAACCTGGAGTAGTCCTGGTCAAACCAGGAGTACTGACAGGATGATTTTTCACTTATTTGAGTATGAATTCCCACTCCTAACACTGTAATATAAGAAAAATAATTGGAGAAATTTGTTAACAGAAAAAGTAAGATTTCTATTCTTTCAAGAATAAACCTCTTTAAGCCTGTTTCTGTTCACTTAATAGCTGGTGATTATTGAGAAAGTAACAGATTGGCTTTTCTGCATTTGTAATCTGAAAAAATTCCTGTTTTTTACATGCAGTGCTACCCTACTGGCTTTCTTGGTTGAGCTTCTTAAGAGTTCAGTAGCCATGCAAGAACAAATGCTTGGTGGAAAAGGCTTTCTAGTAATTGGCTATCTCCTTGAAAAGGTATGTTTGGAGAGTTTTTATTTTTGTTCTTAGTATTTCTACTGTCACTGTAGTACTTTCGATCACTTGGCTCAAAGGACTGTTTTCAGACATGATGAGCAGTTATCACAAAACTGAGGTTCAGTTCGGTTGTCTGAGGAATGTTACCTGCCTTCTGGACCAAAACCCTCATGAAACCCTGTTGCTCTGATTTCATAATCTGCATAATCTGAAAACCAACTACTGTTAGCTATACTAAGGCAATGATACTCTAATGATTGAATCTCGTGGCTCTAACATTCCTGAATGTCTGCTACTGGATTTTTCATTAGCATGAGGTCAGTATAGCAATCATTTGAGAAGAAGATAAAAATTATAATCTCACCCTCAAAAAATATACTGAATTTTGAAAAAGAATGATAAATAGTTTGTCTCATTCTGCTCCCTTTGTTATTTGCAGCTAGGAAAATACATTCTTATAGTAGAAAGCATTTACATTCACTGAATACCTAAAAGCAGACTATTTTCTATGCTTCTATATTTTCAGTACTAAGCAAGTGTGATTTAGAATGTCAAAGAACTAGCCTAAGGTGGTGTTTTTTTCCTGTGGTAGGTTTTCTTGTGACATAACCAGAATGAATTTACAAAGCTGTTACCTTCAGTTCTGTAAGTTATTACAGGCTAGTAATGGGCAGGCAAGTGAGCCCTCATGGAGTCTCTTTCTCCTGAATAGAGCACTGTGGTTTACACACATTGAATACGTCAATTCAGAATGTTGTAGACGAAATTAAAAAAAAAATAATTTGCACACTCTTCTAATTAGCATCTGCTATGATATTAAACTCAGGCCATGTGAATATTTAAAGGATTTTGATTGATCAAAACACAATTCTTACAAAGATGCTGTTTTCTGGGGAGTTTGGTGCTATATTCACTTAGCTACAGTTTTTACTACATATTCACTGATCTGTATTCACTTAGCTATAGTTTTTTAAAATGCTACAAGGTGTTTTATTTTTTTCAGTATATACTTATATTAATTTGGCATACATGGCAGGAAAAATCCTTTTGCTTCCTAAGCCAGTCTCAATTTCATTATTTATAAATTATCTCTTGTATCTGTTGTTCATTTGCATGTAATCAAATACTTCAGAGGACAGAAAGCACTTTTTTTTCCTGACTTGAATTTCCAAATGTTTTTGTTCTTATTAGTTGCAGACTATTTATTGTGAATCGTGATGTACAAGCCAAAGGAACTTCAGCATCCAGACTGAACTTGTATTACTGAAAAACAGACTTCAGTTCTAAAAATAACAAATCTGCATATTCCCAGACTGTACTTACAGCAATAAAAATAATTGGAACATAGAATCATATAATCACTTAGGTCGGAAAAGACCTTTAAGATCATCAGGTCCAACCATTAACCCGGCACTGCCAAGGCCACCACTAAACCATGTCCCTCAGTGCCACATCTACACATCTTTTAAACACCTCCAGGCATGGTGATTGAACCACTTCCCTGGGCAGCCTGTTCCAGTGCTTTACATTTTGTAGAGAAGGCAAAGGGAAGGATGTTTAGTGGCTTTTTTATTAATTTTCTAATTTAGTATACAAAGAAATTTGTCAAAGTCCTCATGCCACATTACTATGTAAGAGCAGGTCTCAACAGTAATTTTATAGCATATGCTATGAAACTGAAAGACTCTCCTGAAATTTGAGGAAACCTTGAACCCAACTCCTTCAAATACCTACTTATGTTTAAGAAACACAGGCAAGTCTACCAGTAATGTACATTTACATATTGAGACACCCAATTCCAGTAAGACACATGATTAACTTAAGAAGAGTTAAGGACTTCAGATGAAATTCTCAATGCACTCTGCTGTAAAATGTTGGATCCTGACTGGCTTCTAATCAAACAAAAACAAAACCAACCAACCAAAATACCAAACAAACAAAAAAAGAAAAAGTATTTAACCATAGTTACTGATGAATATTTTAACTTGTTAAATATAGGCATTAGAAAGACTGTTGATATTATTAGAAAGTAGAAGTTGCCTTCATATGCAATGACATCAAAACACGTGAAGCTGCATGTATTTAGTGATGATGAGATGGGTGAAAATACTGATTCATAGTTCTGCTGTAAGTATATTAAGGAAGAAGGCTTTTCTTTATCTTTGTTCTTCTGATTATTTCCCCCCAGTCATCTAGAGTTCATATAACCAGAGCAGTTCTGGAACAATTTTTGTCATTTGCAAAATATTTGGATGGATTATCTCATGGAGCACCTCTACTGAAGCAATTATGTGATCACATCCTTTTTAATCCTGCTATCTGGATACATACCCCTGCAAAGGTAGTTGTACACTTGAATAATGTTATGACTCTCCTAAAACAAAATGAAATGCCTGTATTCTTTTGTAACATGGTACTTAGGTTTTTGGGTTTTTTATTTTAAAATATGGTAATAGCAATGATTTTTTTAGATCATGAAGTCTATATCCTGCTTAACTATATACTCTAATGTCTTTTATAAGTTTCTAAAAGTAGTTAAATTATTGGACTGTTTCTGGAAACCCAGTCCCTTTTTCAGTGCTTGCATTACATTGTTTTCCTAAAGATTAAGCATAAAATTATGTATTTTTAATTGTAGGTGAAAGATGACACGTTTTGTTACACATTAGCGTGTACTCTCACTTTAATTTAAATTATGTATTTTAGTTTGATAAAATCTATAAAATGTTATTGTTCACCTCTGGTAATAATGAATTAGTTGTTTTCCTAAGTAATCATAGTTGAGATATGTTGAGATTGATAGTTGAGATTGAAAAGTGGCATGGTCCTAAAATCTGAAAATATGTACTTCTAGTATAAAAAGCCAGAATGGAAAACAAACCTGTATGTTTATCATTACTTGAATCATAAAATCATAGGAAATTTAGTTTGCAAGGGACCTCTGGATGTCGTTTCTAGGTATCAGTCAAGTCCCTGCCCTAACCAAAGTTTTAATTTTTTTTTTTTTAGTTTTTTATATCATATCCAAAGTATATATTAAAATAAGTCCTACAACTTAAGGTTACTAATACAGAACTTAGGTTTACATGGGTAACTGTTTCATTCTTCAGGTGCAGCTGTCTTTGTATACCTACTTGTCAGCTGAATTCATTGGAACTGCTACAATCTATAACACCATACGCAGAGTAGGAACAGTCCTGCAGTTAATGCACACACTGAAATACTACTACTGGGTGGTTAATCCTGCTGATAGCAGTGGCATTACTCCTAAAGGATTAGGTAAGTACAACATATAAGAAAGGAAATATGAGCATTTCTTGTGTAGGAATATTTATGATGTTCTTGTGTGAAAGCTCCTTGGATCTGTAGACAAGAAGGTAAATGAATGTCAATAGTTGATAGCAGTGGTCAAAAGTAGAACTATGCAAGTGCGTTTTGCTGTGTCATATGCCCCTGATAATAATTCCCTAGCTTAGCTCAGGAAGTATTGAATGACAGCAACAACAGAATACAATAATAGATACTGGCTAAACGCTGCATGTTACAGATTTGTATTAGTCAGAGCAAATCATTCTAATCCTATATACTCTGACTGTAATGTCATTACATTTAGCTGTCTACTTGTGCAAAGCAGAAAGGATTTGGCTGAAAGTCTCTTTAAAAAATAATAGATAAAGGAGAACTTATTAATTTTCTTTTTTCTGTAACTACTACTGTCATGCTGAGAAATTGAATAATTGGGGAATGTTTCAGCACTGTCAGATATCCAAATATTCACAAGTGTGACATATAGAACATACAAATTATTGGATTATTCTTCATTTGTAAGTGAGCTGTATGCATATGGTTTTTCTTCAATTTTTTTCAATAAATAAAAGCAGAAGGAACAATTCTTATTCTAAATTAGGTATCTTAATAGACGTTGAAGTTGTAACTTGTTGAGGCTCACAGAAAGAAGTGCTATAGGATCTGGGGCGTCATTTTTAATTCTCTCAGATGAACAATATTATTCATAAAATTATTAAAATTTATTTTAAGATACCTAACAAAGTTGTTCTCTGTTCATTTGGATGAAAAGTTTGTAATACTAGATTATGAAAATTAACTGTGGTTGTTACTTAATTAGCTTGAAATCTTTGTCAGTGATAAATTATATTTTCCACTTATACTGACTCTGGATTCCTGCTGCGAAAATAGAATTAACTTCAATTTTGGTACTACAATGAAGGTAGTACCTTCTAACTGAGTTAGACGTCTGTCAATTATAGACAGTGGAATGCAGGAGTCAGTTACCTTAATATGGGTTTCCAGCATCATTATAATCTCTCTGGGGCATCCCACCTGCCTTTCAGAAGGATGCAGGTTTCCTGTGCATACAACATCATATTTGCTTGTTTTGGGTAGATATTTTGCATTTGTTTGTTATGGGTAGAGATTTTGCAGGCTTTATGACATGTCAATTCACACTGGTAAGTATGTTTAGGAAGCTGTGTCCTACACCTGGTCGACAAGAGACTTGATAAGTGTTTTGTTGGAAAGGTGGTTGTTTTCTAGACAGCATTGGCTCTATTGATTAGATTTCCACTGACCTCAGTGGAAGGTTAGAAGCTGGTTTCACGTGTGGGAACTACACTGTAGGTGTCTGAAGTCAGGGTGAGCTGAATCCTACCCTGGTACTGTCTTTATCCAGCTGCATGCTTTCAGAGCTTTACTCTGTTGATGGTTATACTGCTGTGATGCATAGGTGCAGTTTTGCCATCAGACAAGTTAACCATATCTGAGCTCAATGAGGAATTAGGATGTTTAAAACTCAGCTGATCAGCTTATGATATATACATTATGTTTCTGACTGTTGAATGACCAAGTGCTGGGAGGTGAAGTTTTCAGGTGTCAACCATATTTACACTGAGATAGAGACTTGGAAAATTGCTTAACTATTTTGAGACTGTAAGTTTAATAATACTGTCTATTGGATATGGCTGTCATTCTTTTGGGGAATTTTTTCTTTTGGTTTTTTTTTTTTTGGTTGGTTGGTTATTTGGGGTTTTGTGTGTGTGTGTGTTTTATTTGCTTGCTTTTTCTTCTGGTAGTTTTGTTTTTAATTAAAAAATTCACATAATTCTGTGTTGTGATACTACTACCTAACAACACTGAAAATGTACTGCAGATTACAGGCTGCTTCCCTCTGGCTAGGCTTGCTCTTTAGTGGAATCAGTGACATTTCTTTGTGTAGAAAGTATGGCTTGTTTTTATCTCCCCGGGATCTTCCTCTCCACAGTTAGCTGTATTTTTGGAGTATTTGTATGTGTACTGCCAGTTGAATAGCTGCAAAAAACTATATAGTGTATTCATCAAAATCTGAACAGAAGGCATGAGGTACACAAGGACACAAAATTAGGCATGACAAATGAATCACTTTAAATTAGCGTATATATGGCTGGTTTACTTCCCTACCTCTTCTTTTATTCTTACCTGTTTAAGGATATATTACCTTGTCTTCTCATTTGTGTTAATTCCAGACAAAATTCTTTTTTTTCTCAGGAAGGCAACTAGGTCAGTCCCTGAAAGGTAATCAGATAGTACAAATTAGTGGTTGCTTGGTGTAGCAGTTTGACAACAAATATCACCATTTTTAAGACCTTCATACAGTAGTTAGGAAGGTGTTTGATAAGCTGTGAGGACGTGCATGTTTTCAAAAAATGTGTTATTATCCAGTGTATCTGAATTTTTTCATTCTTTTCTTTAGTTAGATTTATAAATAAATTTGACTTTTTAAAGGTTAATATCTGCTTTTTCCTTGTTCCTTATCCTCTTCTTTCCTCCCTGTGTCTTAGACTACAGAAAGTCCCCTGTAACTGATATAACTCTAAAGAAGTGTTTTGTAGTATTCTCTTTTCTGTCTGTAAGAATGGCTTTCCTTGAGTTGGAGATTGTCAGCGTATCAGAGAGAAAGGCCAGTGACATTGCAATGGATGTGAAAACCCAGAACAGCTGTGGAATTTTCTCCGCGCAAATCAGCACTAGGATTCTTTTTGCTATTGTTTCAGATAACTTCTGCTTCTGACTAAGATAGCTGTAGTAACTGTGGTAATTTGCAAACAAATGATTGGGGAAATATAATAATTGCTGAGGTGATGGGTTGCTAAATTTAATTTCACATTAACTTAATTTCTTATTAGATTTTTATCAAATCCACTAGGTTTATTCTCAATTGATAAAATTCCTGAAAACTTTTCAAAATGTTTAATCACCAGCATATTACATTGATTTTCTTTACTAGATGCACCAATCCTAGTATTTCAAAAAAGTTAACTCTTCCAGGATTTTGGTTTTGTGCTGATTTTTATTAGCCTGCATGCAGCCACTTCTGCCACATGTAACCAGCAAGTGTATAATTTGTTACAATGCAGAATAATGTATAAAAAAGTAATTTGTTAAAGCAAGAAAGTTGCACTGTACAAACACAATCAGATGAATTTTAGATTTGCTGCATTTTAAGTAGCATTTGATATCTCAGAATGGAAGAAGAGGCCCCATTGTCTATGAACAGTAACTTTACTGTATGAAACAGAAAAATGTCATCATGTGAGTAAATGGCAGCTGAAACTCTAAGCTGACTCGACATGAGGCTTTTCAGATCTGAAGAAGACTAGTGGAAATCTTGCCAATATCCGAAATTTGACTTCAAGTGCTATCGTACCTTCATATAATTTGCTGTCATATTAGAGAGTAAGCTTATTCATGCAGACATTTTAGTAGTGTGATGTTTTCTTGTCTTCTAGGCATGTCCTTTTTTATGTGGCGATACTTAAACACTTTTTAGTATTAGTAGTTTGATTTACTATTACTTGCAGACAGTTGCTTTGCTTCAGGGTTTTATTGCCTTCCTCTGTGTTAATAAAGCACAAAGTGGGTGAATTTTCAGTACTGACAGTTTAGTATCCCTTATTTTAAGTCCAAAGTGGCTCAAAATTAAAGTTTCCCATTTGGCTAGTGCAGTTTTCTTTTAAAAATTAGTTTCCCCCTTGTTTTTCCTAGTATTAAGCTTATAAAATGGGAGGTATAAATACTTTGAATTATTTAAAAGGCTCAAATACTTATTTTAAATTTAGGGTTGTATCTTCTCTTTTGTTATTGGTTTTCTGTTTCATTGTGGTATTTCTTCTTAGATTCAGAATACTGAATTCATATTGGTCTTTTTTTTCCTTCTGAAGTATTAGAAACACTGTCTCAAAATGTGAAATTATCACCTTGCTCAATAATTATACCTAGAAGCTTTTATATTTTAGGTATAGATCCACATAGTGAAAGTGAGTTATCTGTTTAAAGTGACAAGTTATACTTTTCTTTTGGTGTTGTTTATTTTAAATTTAAAAGGAGCATAAAAAGTCAAACCAATTTCCACAGGAAAGAATGTCTGAATTTTATTATTTATTTTTTAAACTTGAACTGTGGTTATAGCTATTTTTCTTGATTTGCCACATGCATGCCTTTAATATTTTGTTAAATCATACAGAGTAAGGATAATAGGGTTGCCTAGCAGTTGCAGTATCCAAACACACAGCAAAGAGGCAATGAAGTGAAAATTATCTAAAATATATAACTTCGTTCTGAATATTTCTTTTTATGGATTTGGGAAATGAGTAAGAGGATAAGTGAGGAGATAGTCACCTCTATCCTGCTATTGGTAGACGGTAGATGGTGCATTTCAATGATACTTCAAGCTGACAGAGACATCTTAGCATTCTGCTATCAGTTGTCTTTGATGTTTTGTCTTTTCAAAATATACTCCAGACCGATATTTAAAGATTAACCAAGCTGTAATTGTCTTCTGAAGGAGCAAAATACATCTATTTTAATATCAAAGCAATAGAGGAAAATTTAAACATACTTTTTTATTTTCATCTTTGGATGTCTACTAACTATTGGATAGTTTAATTTCTTTATTAACCTTTAGAAAGAAAATGAAAATATTTTTGCACTCTAAAAACATCTTCCATGTTTCTGAATTAATTTGGTTTTCAATTTCTGCAAATTTAAGAGAGAAGTCATTAGAGCCCACCAGGATATTTATGCCTTGACAAATCTTCGCTGGAATTACTTACCAACTACATGGCATTCTCTGGAAATACTAATGAACCATCAGTGAGAAGGCATAAAATAAAAGTAATAACAGAAAAAAGTAAAGTAAATATTGTGGAGTTTTCTTCCTAAGAGAAAATAATTTAGGATTCTCAGCGTTAACAAGTGTCAGAAATGTATTATACTAAACTGCAATTTTGGACCCTTTTGTGGTGCGTTGTATGAAATACTTGCTGCTTCATTGTTTGTAGATCATAGAATCATAGAATAAGCAAAGTTGGAAGGTACCCATCAGGATCATCCAACTTCTGGCCTTGTACAGGACACACCAAGAATCACACCATGTGCCTGAGGGCGTGGTCCAAACACTTTTTGAACGCAGACAGACTTGGTGCTGTGACCACTTCCCTGGGGAGTCTGTGTTATGTGAGAGAAATGTGCTTTTAAGTTCCGGACTACTGTGTAGCATAGTAAACTCTCGACCTGAATGGCCAAGCACTTCTGTTTCTCTACTAGTGCTTCCTATGTGCTTCACAACCCTTACTGTGAATGGACCTTTATGAGTAGCATCATGCCTCCTAATGGAGAATGCATAGTTGCTAATGTGCAAGTTACCTCACATTAAATAGAGTTTTCAAGAATGTTCTTCATGTCCAATATTTTTGAACATGAACTGTAGAAGTGGGATTTATGAAAATTATTATAAGGAGAAATTAATTATAGTTTTTGTGGATAGAAAGAGTTGCACAGTTATTTCAAGGGTTGGGTTAAAGTGGAACTGAGTTCTCATTAGCTTTACAGCAGTAAGAAAAATAGGTCCTTCTGTGACCCACATAAGATGTGATTTTATTTATGTATTCATGGAGATCAGATTCTGCTATCTGTTTCATGTCGTATTAATGTAAGGAGTAGAAAAATCATGTTTTTCACATATTAAGAAAAATCAAAACAGATGGAAGAATGTTGCATTTGGTTGCTGGTAGAACTGATAACACGATGTTTTATTTCCAGAGACAGAATTAGAAATCATTATTTTTGTTATTCAAATCATTTTTGTTTTTTTTTTTTTTGCTTTGGTTTTTTTTCCCACACCTGTACTGACTGTACTTAACTCTGTGAATATGTTTACTTATTCCTTCTTAATTACTTCTGCTTCTGTGCCTCTATAATTGCTCTATGCTGCAGGGAAGAATTGGATAATGTTGGTTTTTTTTTTTCATTTATTTTTGTCAGGGTAAAGCTGGCTAACTCTTGTTATGAGTGTATATTTAAAAAAATCTGACGCAAATCTGTGATAAATACTTACATAAAGAATCTAAGAGCAGGAAATGCTTTAGTGACTCATCCTGGTGTGGTATAAAGGAGACATCCTTTCTCTTTACCAATTAACAAGAATGTTACGATTTTCTATTATGAACTTCTGGTTGCTGTACCAGATCTTAAAAGCATCATCTTTGTAGTTGTTTTGATTCAGGCTTGGTTTTAGTCTTTAGCAGTGCTGATTATCAGTTTCTGACTGACACTGACACTGAATTATCTATATGCCTTAATGGTCACAAAGATTAATAAACAGTAAATAAATAATAAATAAACCTTTCTTTGTTGGTTTTCATTCAGATGATATTTAGCATAGTGGCTTAGTCGTTCCAAGTTGTTATCACATGTTGCTATCTATCTATTACTATCATCTTATTCCTATCTTTTATCTTCGTGTGTCTTTAAAAAACTAAATAAAATTGAATATGAATTTCCTTTTTTTTTCCAGGTGGAACATCACTTATACTTAAGTATATCGCTGTTGAAAAATGTGATTCTGAAAGGTTATAAATGATATAATTTGCAAATGTGAACTTTTATATAAGAGTAGACCACAAAATCTGCTGTGGGAATTGTGATTTCCTTAAGAAGCTGCAGTCATTAAATGAATTAATTTATATTTAAAAGTGCTGTATTTTGCTTCTTCCAGATGGTCCTCGACCCTCCCAGAAAGAAATCATATCGCTAAGGGCATTTATGCTTCTGTTCTTGAAACAACTTATACTGAAGGTAATGTAATCTGTTCCAGAGGGAAACCATTCAGATGTGTTATATACGTGTAATAGAATCTTTCACAGTAGAACATAGGTAATACCTGTCAGGTATTGTATCTGTTTCTGGTCAATTTTAATGTTTATGCACTTACTTCTAATCAGCATAAAGATAGTAAATCCATACAATATTTCTTATTACCTCACCAAACTCTGCCGTATATATTATTAAATTATTATTATATTTATATTTAAGACATTAAAATATATTTGAAATAATAATTATTAAATAATTTTTATTAAATTAATTAGATTAGATTACATTAGATTTATTAAATTGATCAAATGAAAAAGGTAATGGCAATTGTTAAGTTAGTAGTTGCTTTAACCTTCTTGTTGCTTCTACCACTGGTTGAAGTGGTGTAGGACTCTTCCTCTCTGTTACAGCTGAACACTAGCCTTTGAGATATAATCTTCTATTTGAGATTAGATTGAAAACCAGTATTTTCTGGCTTGGCCTTTTCTGTCTGTTTTTTCTATTTTGTCTCCAAAATTGGAGGAGTGACAGTAATAGTTTGTAGTATCTGAGGGCACACACTATAAGAATCCTTTCTGTCAGGAACAGAAGACTGACCTCATACTGTTTTGAATTGCCAATGTGATAAGGAAAAGCAGTGGAATGATTGTGAGAATTTAGTCTTTTAAATTTAAACAGAAAAGCTGTAAGGTTATTTGATTTCGTCCAAATTTTGCTTGAGCAAACTTGAAGAATATATTTTCTCTGAGTGATGTCCTTCCTTTTGTTTTTCTTTTAGGATCGAGGAGTTAAAGAAGATGAACTGCAGAGCATATTAAATTACTTACTAACAATGCATGAGGTACATTTCTATAATTACTTATCTTCTACTGTTACCAATTGTACCAGCACTATGGGAACCTTGCTGTTGAGGTTAGTTTGTAGAATAACACTGATGCTTGTCATACAGGATGAAAATATTCATGATGTGCTGCAGCTGCTAGTGGCACTAATGTCCGAACATCCAGCATCCATGATACCTGCCTTTGATCAGAGGAATGGGATACGGTAAGACTGTGAAGTCAGAAAATACATCAAAAGTAGTTCCAGTGTCATGACTCTCCAGTTTGCTTCTTTTTCTCATAAATATCACACTTGCTGATCTTTCAAACTTCAATTTTATTAACTTAGACTTTATTTTTGGACAAAATGAGTGGTTACAATAGGTTGGAGGAAACTTTCCACTAAAGATTATCATTATGATATTTCAAGGTAAATGTATTGTTGTACTTGCTTCTTAATCTCAAATAGAATATATAATTAACAAGATGCATCAAAAAGCAGAGTATCTATCTCAGAACAATTCTGAATATTCTTTCTTGGTATGTTTAACATTTTCTGGGGAGAAGAAGAGGAAAAGGTAAATTCTGCCCTGGCCACTCAAATTTTCTTTGAAAAGAGTGGAATTCAGGTGGTTATCTTTTTGACAGTGAAATTAATAACTGATAATTCCTGGAGAAGTGGGCTTTTTTTTGTTTGTTTATTTATGCCTAATTTGGCAATACAAATCTTTTTCAGGGACAAATACTTTTCATGTAATAAATTAATATTTACTATGGAATTTTATTTTTTGCTGTTCTGAAAATATTTTGGAAAATACAAGGGACTTGAAAAAAGGAAAAAAACCCCACACAACATCTACTACTTAATGAAGTCAAGATTAATTTTGCCTAAATACTAAGATCTTTGTATAAATACGTGTACTTAAAACATTGAATGTTTGAATGTTTGAATGACAATGCTATTTGAAGGGAGGACACCTTGTACTCATGGTTAGGAATTTCCTTTCTGCTTGTAGTTTGTATTCAGGCAGAATTCTATTCCTGACACCTTTTGAAAAGGGTAGGACTGATCTGGAAGACTGAAGACATCTTTATGTAACATTTGTAGTACCAATATTCAAACTCTGTGATGGTGCAGTCTTTGTGTTTAAAAGTTTGTGTTGAAAAACTGGGAAGAATGCACAACATTGCAACATTTAAGTATTGAAAAAAGAAACAAAAACTTTACATAGAATTAGGTGTTCATTTGCTTAGGTTGTCAGAGGACAAAAGACTCAACCTCAAAGGCCATTTGCTAATAGCATAAGTCCTTTCAAAAGAGGAAGATAGTGTCTGCTAAAGCACTTCTAATGGAGAAAGACTAGAAAGAATGTCTAAAAGCTGAAGCGAAGCTAAAATATAAATTCAAAACTTCCTTGAACAATAGCCCAGGGGAAAGGTAGTGTTTTCTGTCTCTTGGTACCTTCAGATGAAGGCTGGTTTCCTTTCTGAAAGACTTCAGAAATTGTGCTTAAACCTATCATATTAATTAAATATGTAATAATTAAATCAGTTAATTTTTGAGGCCTTTTTTCAATCCAGGATTTAAAAACAGAAGGGTGTAAAAACCCAAGATTTTCACTAGCATCCAGGTACTCTAAGAAACTCCAGGATATAACCTTATGTGTTCCAGTCTGTTTCTCTTGTCTTAAACTACAACTGCTCAGACTGTCTTTTATTTGATTGTTCCAAGTTAGAAGTATAAGATGATGCTTTCTATTATAAAACATTCAACTGAACCAAAATACACCATGTCCCCAAACTCAAGAATTCATAATCAAACTCTTATGTTGTGCTTGATTCTTTCAGTATATCCTTCCATTTTGTGTAATTGCTATTTTTACCATTTTATTTCTTAATAAAAACCCCTGTTTAGTGAAATACAATCTATATATATAATGTTCAGTAATAATCGTATTGAATTTCTTTTTCAGAGTAATTTATAAATTACTTGCTTCCAAGAGTGAAAGTATATGGGTGCAAGCGTTGAAGGTCCTTGGATATTTTCTTAAACACTTGGGTCATAAGTAAGTGTGGTTTTAAAATTTTTATAGTGGTGTATTTAAGTTCACAATTCTTGTCTTTCTGTCATAATTACTATATATTCTTTGACAGTCTTTAGAAATTACTTAAAATTGTTAGATTTTCTGATTAATAATTTGCACAGTGTTGCCTTTATACATTGGGATAAAATGAATTTTTCCGCTTAACTTGCTATTACTATGATGTTTGAAATGATACGTTGATTTCCAAATAAATGATATGCTGAAACTCAAGTCTTAAAACAATGGAAAAACATTTTCTAAAAAATACGTTTTATAACTGTATATTGCATGTTCAGATAAGGTTAACAGGAAACATATGATTGTGATGAAAAATTTGTTTCTGGAATTATCAGTGTCATTGCAATAAAATTTTCAGGGCAGTACTTTTAAAAATAGCTTTAAAAAGATGGAAAAAATCTTTTTACATGCAGAACATGTTATTGACATGGGAAAGTTTCAGAAGGAAAAGAAGGAAATCAAGCAAACGGTATTTAAAAAAGGAGTTAAGGACATACCTCTGGGCAAGAAATACATAGAAGATGTGGCAGCAACAAATAATCACATTTAAAAAGACCAGATGTCATGAAATAGATGTACTTAGTCTCATCTTTCATAATATGGAGTCAAGAAAGCATTAACAAGCATGAAGTGCCATGTAGCCTGCTGTTACTCACTTTTCCCCATCTACATGTGATGTTAAGCTTCCTGCTGGGATTAGCCCCAAACAATATTTCATTGGAATGCTGTGCAGTATAAAAATTTAACACGTGCTTCACAGACTTCATCATGTAAGCCTCCTTAGAAGGGAAAGGGGGTAGGAGTCCAGCCAGAGTGTGGTACTGCTAAACATGCTTTTCTCAGTAAGATCAATAAAGTATGACTGTATAATTGAGAGACAGTTAGCTGAGAATATGCTCCTAAATGGGATTTTTCTTTTCGGATCCAGCCAGTCAAATAGTGTTCTGGGAATTAATAAAGCAAATTGATAGTCCACTCAAGAATCTCCAAGGGCTTTTCAAACATTACTTACTAAAAATCATTCACATTAATAGGAGTTGGATTAAGTAAGATACACCAGATGAAGGTTTGACTTGTCAGAGCCTGGTTGTGTCCAGATAAGTACATTTGTTTACTATATTTATCGTTTATCCAGAAAATCAAGTAGCAAAGTATGTCGGTTGAATGTTACAGAAAAAGAAAAGTGAGAATTTTCAGAAGCTGAATTTCACTTCCCATTCCTTAGCACCTACTTGCAGTTATGGATATATCAGTGTAGTTTCCATTGTTGACTGAACATATGTACTTAGCCTAAATTTAAATTTATTTTTTCATGAAATTGGAGTGATTGAAGCCCGCTTGAATATTCTGTGTAACTTTCAGAGGTTTTTAAAATTTTCAGATCTCTGAACATCTCCAAATGTGCATATTTTATATAGATTTCAGCAAGATTCCTCCCCCATTTCATATGTTACAACTAGTGCTTGTGAGGTGTGCCTGTTTGTGAACATACATATATGTGCATATGCATGATTTTATAAAATTGAAGTCAACGACAGGAATGTGGGAAACCGAACATAGGTTTAAGGCGTCGGCACAGGAAATTCTAAGCAATTATAAAATTATAAACTACATAAAATTATTAACTACATAAAATTATAAAGCACTTATATTTCTGTTTCACAGTACAGGAAGCAGGCATTGTATTTTAATACACTAAAGCAGAATTGCATGAAGAGATATTACATGATTTATGAAATCTTAACCGTTACAGTATTATAACAAATGTGCAGGTACAAAACCAATTACCATTTCTGTAGTTCATATATATGCATCACAGATGAAGCTATACAGTGGAAGTAATTGATTCTTGGGAGAAGTGACCAGTAAAGTGTTAGATGAGGACCTGAATAACTTAATTGATTTTTCTTTGTTATCTGTGATGATAGACTAATTTGTCTAACTTTAACAGTTGACAAAATCCTGTTCTCTTCCTTCTCTGCTATATTTGATTCTTTCTGTGTCACTACTTGAAATCATAGTCCATTGTTTACTTTTGGTTTTTATCTGCGCATTTAAACCTTGCAGTCAAAGTCCTCTTTCGTCTGCTAAATCAAAGTATAAAAGATTGAATACGTGTACTTTTTCTCATAACTAACTCATGAACTCCCTTTTGTGCACAGAAGAGTACACACTGGTGTAAGTTGTTACCACTCTCTTTTGTGGTTATTTGAAAATTATAATATGATGTATTCATTTCAAAAGTTCTAGAATAAATCTATGTAGTTTATACCTGTGTTATTTTCATTGGTAATCAGGAGAAGACAGTTTCATAGCTTTTTAATGCATAAAATTTTCAGAAACTTTACTGTACCTTATATTATTTAATATTTTTCTTCTACTTTAATATAGATTGTTAATTATTTTGAAAAACACTGTTTTTTATTTCATATTCATTATAGTAGTAGGTAAATTTAATGATACAAAGTATGAGAAGTACTCTGTTTATTTGTGATGTTATATCCAATTTTAAAAGGATAGGGTTTGGGGACAGATGGAATTCATTGATCTGAACTGTTCTCCAATAATTTAAGATTTGAGTGGTTTTTGATACTAGATATGAAATTCACTTCAATCATGTGCAATTTCATAACTTTTCAGGATTACACTTTAGCCAGCCTATGAACATCTTGAACTTTCTTAGCCTGGGTAAGATAGAAAGGGATTAGTTTGTCTTTTTCCACTATGAAAATCATGGAGGGTAGAGAAAGGTGTGTGATTTATTTTATACAAAAGCCCATCTTAAATACAATGTTACTGTCTGAGAACCTTTGTGTATTGCTACAATTGTGTTCATATTGGGAAATATCATAAATGATGTTTGTTCCCTCGTATTTACAGAATAACAAGTTTGGGAGCTTTTTAGTACAACAACAAAATATTTAGCTTTCGGGTTTTATTTTGCATTTACTTAAAATGTTCAACAGGCTTGGCATTTGCCTAGTGTTTTTGTTTTCCTTTACAGGCGAAAGGTTGAAATCATGCATACTCACAGTCTTTTCACACTTCTTGGAGAAAGGTTGATGCTGCATACAAATACAGTGACCGTTACAACATATAACACGCTTTATGAGGTACAAATTATTAAAGATTTTCATCTCTATTATAAAAAATATGACTTTAAAATATCTGTACTTTACAAGATTCTGAAGACTTTTGAGAAAGTGTTAGAAATTTTAAGAAAGGATTTCTTTGTTCAAAATATATTTTGCCATGTTTTAGCTGTTTTTATTAAAAATGTCATAGTTTACATAAGCTCTGTAAAACTTTCCACTTGTGATGGAAGAGGTCCTGTTACTTCAGATGTTCATTACTTTTCCCCTCCCAAAAAAAGTTACTGCAGATCTCTAATTGCTCTTACTCCTCCATTGTTTGGAGGAGTTTGTTTCCATTGAAGTGGAAAGTGCTGGAGTCAGAGGTGCCTCTTTATTTCTTTTTTTTTTCTTTTTTGTGCCCATCCATTCAAGTTTACAGAATTTTGAAAAGTGCTGTTTTTCTTTTTTTAACTATGTCAAATGATAAGTGAACACAGCCATTTTTATATAGCAAAAACTGCTTCAGGTGAGTGAGTATGACCTCAAAGCATTCAACTGTTCTACCAGGTTCTTGTAGAAACTTCAGTTTTGATGATGAGCAATTTTGTTAAAACAAAATATTGGCAACATCAAGTTGGTTGAAACCTGTGTCTTCATGCCTATAAATGCATAAATTTCACAACCAATCTTCAATTATTTCTAAAATGGTGACTTAGAATAGAATCTCTTGCAATTTCTGAAAACCTTATGGACAAGAAAGATTTTTTAATTTTTTTTTAGTCCGAAATAGATGTAATGGATAGATGCTCAGGATTGCTTCCAGAAAAGACACAGAAGACTAAGGGAGTGCTTGGTCTTTAGGGTTCTAAGTCTGAGTTTGATGTAGAAAATGTCCTACTATGATTGTGAAAATCTAATCATCTGTTAGCCAATGCCTTAGACATCAAGTTCTTTTTTATTGCACATATCTAAGCTTACCTTGTATGGTTTGGCCACTTGGGTCTCACAGTCTACATCCTACATTTGGTTTTCTGATAGCTTCTGTTATTGATATTCTCAGAAAATATGTATCTCATTGAATGGAATGCTATCTCTGACTCTTCCTCTTTACTATGTGGAGAAAAGTAAACCCACTTACAAGAATTATTTGGTTTGGCTGTGCATGAAATCTGTGAGAATAATTTTTGATGTATGGAGCTTGTGAACAAATTTTTAAACTGTGAATGTATAACACTATGAAAAATATGAATGAAATATCTTTAAAATACCATAATTGTATATGTAGTCAACTAACTAAAGGGTTAGTTAACCAGACACTGTAAACCATGAAAATCTTGATCCCTGAGTGCAGGAATTGCTTTATTCTATTTTTCAAGTATTAAAATATTTTACCTAACTTTTTTATATGAAATTACAGTGTGGCCATGGTAAATGCTCTTAACAAATTTAAAAATGAACAAAGAAGTGCTGTAGTGTTTAATTAATAATGGTAAAAGTAAGTTAATATTCTGTTTTAGATTTTGACAGAACAAGTATGCACACAAGTTGTTCATAAACCACATCCAGAGCCAGATTCAACAGTGAAAATTCAGAATCCAAGTAAGGACAATATATTGTGTTTTTATGTTAAATGTATCACCTAGAGGTTGTGGGTTTTTTGGAAATAATTTGGTTCAGAAAGTGAGAACAATTCCTTCATGTATCTTAAATACATATAGCTTTCTGTGACTACTTACATTAGTTGCTGACAGGAACTATTTTCTTTTCTTAAACATTGTTACAGTGCTTTACATAACTAATTTATTCTTTCAAAGTGATTCTTAAGGTGGTGGCAACGCTGTTAAAAAACTCCACGCCAAGTGCAGAGCTGATGGAAGTTCGACGATTGTTCTTATCTGATATGATAAAACTCTTTAGTAATAGCCGTGAAAACAGAAGGTATGTCACTGCAAATAGTATTTTTTCATCCTTGATTTCTGGGTAGTAGCAATCTGTTATACTCTCTGTGGAGTTATATTCTCTTAAATGAAATATATTTAAAATAAATTTAATAGGTTTGTGGTAGCTTTTCTGATTTTAGCAGCTAATACTTCTTCTGTTTAGAATATAAGTTAAATTTTCATTCATACTGAAGTATTCTTAAGTTTATTTCTACACTGGATTAATGTTCAGAGAAGATGTTCCTCCCATCTTAACCATCATAATGTTAAAATAAAGAAGCTTTGTTTGGATATATTTTGACCTAATTATTTCACTTTAGATGTTTACTTCAGTGTTCAGTGTGGCAGGACTGGATGTTTTCTCTGGGATACATTAACCCAAAGAACTCTGAAGAGCAGAAGATCACAGAGATGGTTTACAACATTTTCCGTATTCTCTTGTATCATGCAATAAAATACGAATGGGGAGGCTGGAGAGTATGGGTGGATACTCTTTCTATAGCTCATTCCAAGGTAAGAAATGGCTCGTGGATGTTTTGGTTTTTTTTTTAATACTGGTAACTCCCCCAAAGGGACTAGCAGTATAGTAAGAGGAAATGTAAAGTGATTTAGTGCCATCTGGTGGCTATCGCTATTCATGTCAAGATGGCATTTTTTTGTTAAACGCTTTGTAAGCTGTATGTAATGTGTCGTTAAGATTCTTGTAATTTTTGTCCAAGTTCATGTAGTGTATATTCAGCCACATAATCTGTTCTTTTCTTTTTAAGGTCACATATGAGGCTCACAAGGAATATCTAGCAAAAATGTATGAAGAGTATCAAAGGCAAGAGGAAGAAAACATAAAAAAGGGGAAGAAGGGGAATGTGAGCACCATCTCAGGTCTTTCCTCTCAGACAACTGGAGCAAAAGGTGGCATGGAAATTCGAGAGATAGAAGATCTTTCACAAAGTCAAAGTCCAGAAAGTGAAACAGATTACCCCGTCAGCACAGATACAAGGGATTTGCTCATGGCTTCAAAGGTGTCAGATGATGTGCTTGGAACTGCTGAGAGACCCGGGGGAGGAGGAGTGCATGTGGAAGTTCATGATCTTTTAGTTGATATAAAAGCTGAAAAAGTAGAAGCTACTGAAGTAAAACTTGATGATATGGATTTATCACCAGAGACACTGGTAACTGGAGAAAATGGTGCACTTGTAGAAGTTGAATCTCTTCTAGATAATGTATATAGTGCAGCTGTTGAGAAGCTCCAAAACAATGTTCATGGAAGCGTGGGTATTATTAAGAAGAATGAGGAAAAAGATAATGGTCCATTAATAACTCTGGCCGATGAGAAAGATGAACCTTCTACTAACAATACCTCATTTCTCTTTGATAAAATACCTAGTCAAGAGGAGAAACTTCTACCTGAACTTTCAAGTAATCACATTTCTATTCCAAATGTTCAAGAGACACCGATGCATCTTGGTGTAAATGATGATTTGGGATTGCTTGCTCATATGACGGGTAGTGTAGATATAACTTGTGCTTCGAGTATAATAGAGGACAAGGAGTTCAAGATTCACACAACTTCAGATGGAATGAGTAGCATTTCTGAGAGGGAGTTGTCTTCATCATCTAAAGGATTAGAATATGCTGAAATGACTGCCACAACTCTTGAGACAGAGTCTTCTGGTAGCAAAACTGTACCTAGTGTTGATGCAGGAAGTATAATATCAGATACAGAAAGATCTGATGATGGTAAGGAAGCAGGGAAGGAGATAAGGAAGATCCAGACAACTACCACAACTCAGGTAAATTTCAAGTAGCCATGTATATGTCTGATGTAATCACCGTTCATTGATGCGTGATAAATTAATAGTAAGAGAGCTGAGAGATGTTTGAAGTGTATTTCTTCAATTATATGAAAAGTGTCCATCTTTGAGGCCTAATTGCTTTGAAAATGCCATAATGTATAAGGATTCTGAAGTCTTTCATGTCTGTATAGAAAATATTTATTACAATTGTTCAGAGAACGTTGTGTGTAATCAAAGATTGTTTTTAAGGATGTTATCAGGTGTTAGAATTTACTACCTTCAAGATTTTACTAGCTGACTTTATGTCTGGTATGTATCTCCTATGTATTTATCTCCTAAGATTTTCAAGTTAAGCAGACTTACTGCAACTATGGAAGAAGAAGCAAGCATAAATTGCAAAAATTGCTCCACTCAGTACTGCATAGTGTCTACCAAATTGTCAGAAGAAAGAGTTTCAGGGATATGCTCAAGTACACGCAAAGTATGTCCTGTGATAAAAGAATATAGATCAGCCTGCCCACTTTGTTCTTCATAGCAACAATACTTTGAGAAAAACTCCAGGGAATGGACATTTAACTTACTGGAACAACCTTTTGTTTTCCAAAAGAAATAATTTCCCTTAAAAAAAACCCAAAAAAATGAAAAACAGCCACCCAAAACCACTCAGACCAGTAACACTCACTTCTAAGTCTCTTCTTTTATGGTAAGAACCTCTGTTTTTTAAGAGAAAACCAGATGGAGCTCTTGCATTCCCTAGGCAGGTATTATAAAAAACAGTTGTGGTTTCTCTTGTAAATGTTTTTCCCATAACTATGAAAATCCTCATAACATCACTGACACCTTATCAAGCCTTGTGTAGGGATCCTTATATTTAAAAGCATTCTGTTTAATAAGGAAAAAGCCCTGAAAGCTCTCAATAGAAATAGTATTATCTCTTATTATCAGTTATGTTTTAAGTCTTAAAATTAAAGATTATTAATACCATGGAAATTGATAAGTGGAATGAAAGGATGATAGCAAGACAAAGAGTAGTCATGTTTTTGTGGGGTTTTTTGTTTATTTTTTTTCTTTTGAAATGTGAACTTTTGTTTAAAGAGTAAAAGACAAGTGAAATTTGCTACATACATATATGCACCCATAAACACAGTGAATTTATAAGGTAAATCTTTAATGAAAAAGATAATCTGACTTAGTAGTAGCTACTGTAGAAAATCCTGTTGGTGTGACTTTGGGACTTTTCTGGGTTCTAACCAATTTTCTTGATAAATTTCACCTAAGAACAGTTGAATTATAAAAATGTAGATTCCTCAAGCCTATAATTATTTGTTAGGATTAAAATGATACATAGATCTTAATGAGCTAGTATCAGATCATTCTAACATAGGAAATAAAAAATGCTTTCGAAATGTTTTCTTCTTAACCACTCACAAAATTCCTAATGTATCATTTGGATCTGCATATTACCTACAAACTGTGTACTCATTATAAGTCTGACTCTACAAGTTGTTTAGCTCCTTTGAGTCTCCACATATTACTTAAATTACAGTAATTTCCCACTAAAATCAATTACAAACTGCAATGAATTGATTGAAATATGTATCCATTAATATATCTTTTAAATAATTTTCTTAAAAAGAATTATCAACTGAGCAACCAGCAGAATTGTTATTTTCTAATCTCTTCTTTGGGTGTTTCAAAATACTCTGTGAACTCTAAGCTGTCCATGGTTATATATTATCTCTTAAAATGAAGTTAATGTTAATAAAGAAAAGATTGAATAGGTATTAAATAAAACATAAATAGAACATTTTTGTTTTCATTAGTAATGAGTAATGTTAATTTTAGCATTTTTACAGCAGAGCTGGGGTCGGAGTTTTGATTGCTGCACATGTGGTGACTGCCCCATTAGATTTGATCTCCTTGAGACCACTGAAAATGACTTAAAGACCAACCACCTAAGTGTAGATAGTTGTGTTTCATGCTTGTTTATGCAATGACAATTCACATCAAAGCCCATTCTTGCAAATATGGTATTATTGGTGTGTGAGTCAACACAGTCAGGTATCCAGAACAACCACAAAACCACAGCTGAAATGCAAAGAGTAAATTTATTTCATAGCCTTACTAACTGGAAGATCCCAAAGCAACACCTGGGTGGAGACACCCAAGTGGAAACACAGGCAGGCACCATTAGGCTCAGTCCATCCTGAGGGGCGATGGGTCTGTGATTTGCACCCATTTATCAAGGGCCCATGCACATGTGGTTTAACACCATGCTGTGATCTCCCCTGTGCTTCTTGTGGTCTCTGAGCTTTGACCTCTCTCCCAAAGCAGAGAGCTCAAGCATGTGCTTGACAGTGCCTCCAAGTCTCTGTAAACACCTATGTTATCTATGCATGGAAATTCTACTTCTCAAAACAGAGAGAGGATAAACAGCTGTAACAGATAAACCCCCATAATATCTGGGGTTTCTCACGCTGATATTCTCCAGGCCTTGGCATTCCCAGATACAAGGTCACTTGAGTGAATCTACCATCCTCCTTGCCATTCTTCTGCTTTTAACTCTTCTCTTCCAACAACTGACTAGATGAAAGCACTCGTGGTACAGTTATGATTCTGTTACTGCTGCTGACATGACAGCTACCTGTAATTTTACTCAAAAAAAGTGGTATGTGAATGGAGTTGCTAACCTCAAATTCTCTGAACACATATCTACGGTCAACTCCCCACCTTATCAGTAAGAAGCAAACTGTCTTTTGTTCAGGTTGACTGAAAGAAAGCAAACAAATTGCACAACAGAGAAGGGAACTACTGCTTACTTCCAAGAAAAGTTAGTACCTTTATCAATAATAGATCAAATATTAAAGAATATAAAATTCACTCTTTTCTATGTTCCCAACCAGGGAAGATTGAAAATAGAATTGAAAGCACTATGCAGAAGATTCATACAAAAAAATTTTAAATCTTAGATAAGAAAAAAAGAAAAGAATCATTTAAAGTTAACTCTAAGAAAAACATAGGAAATGAAAGCAACATTAACTATTTTGCTCCCTATAGGTCAAATCGAATGAAGGACACCTGCCCTGCCCTCAAAATCCAGGCTACAGGAGATCAAAATCTGACTAAAGATATAGGAAACTTTTCAACTCAACTTCAGTGCCATGTCCATTTTTATATTGCTAGCAGAAATATTTTGTAAAGTTCTCTTTTGCTTTTTAATGTCCAGATTTAAAATAGTATGCTGAGATTGGGAAATTAATATGTGAGCAAAGCAAGGATACTTTCTATTTTCTTAGTTTTAAACTAATCTAAAGTCACTTAAAAGTAATTTCAAGGATTAGACTTTGTATTTCTCCCTTTCAGAGATGTTGTACATTATAAGTTGTTGTTGTTGTTTTGAATATTTACCTTAAATTCAGTGATAATGTTTGTTCCTTACTACTTTTACCTTCACTGTATACTCATATCCTCTCTGTGTATCATATCATATCATAGTATAGCATATCATCATAGCATATCATCATAGCATATCATCATCCTATCATATTCCCTATGTGTATCTTTTACTTTTGTCTTTAATCACCAAGTAGAAATACTTATGACTATGTAGTATTGAAAAGGAAAGAAATTCACATCCACCACCTGTTGGGAGAATCTAAAGATTGTCCTGAGGATCCATAAAACAGTTAACGAATTAACAAAGTGTTAGGAGACTAGACTTAATTCCCTAATGATCCTGCTAAAAAGACAAGATAAATAAATTGGTTTTGAAAAATGAGGAGCTGTCTAAAAGTACCCTGACTCCTCGAAACTATCACTGTGTAGTTTGTCCATTTTGAGTCAAATCTTCAAAGAAAATTGTGTTATCAGCACAAAAATATAGTTGTTTCCTGTAAACAAAGTCTTGTCACTGCTGACCTTGCATGTGCTACATTTGGTCTTTTCTGTAATACTTCAAGTGAAGAACTTAACTGTAAAACCTTGGTGAATATCTGAAAGGGAAGCCAGTCAAAGCCTCTCATTTCTGGTTGATTTGTATTGGAGCAGCTCATTTAACTGAAGGATACTCCCTGCCTTGGAATATCAGTATCTCCTGTAGTTTGTTGCTGAGTCATTTTAGCCTATCCTTTCTCAAATTTTGCATTGCATTCAAAAACACATTGCAGAAAGTTGACATGGTTTTTTAACCTGTTGATGTAGGCAGTACAGGGTCGATCTGTCACCCAGCAAGACCGGGATTTACGTGTTGACTTGGGATTCCGAGGAATGCCAATGACGGAAGAGCAGCGACGGCAGTTTAGTCCAGGTCCACGCACAACTATGTTTCGTATTCCAGAGTTTAAATGGTCTCCCATGCACCAGCGTCTCCTGACAGACTTGCTTTTTGCACTAGAAACAGACGTACATGTTTGGAGAAGGTAAGTGGCTGTTTCTTCTTTGACTCCTGATTTGTGTTTCCATCAATAAGGAAAAATTAGATGTTTTCTAGAGGGGATGTTACTGGGATAGTGGGAAGGGAAGGAGTTGGTGTTAGCTGAAGTACCCTTCTGTATCTTCTGTCTTCTCTTTTTGCTCCTTCCCAGCCTGTAACAGCTCTATTTCACAAGTAATTTCTACTTTCTTGAGGGATTGTGTAACTCATGCATACCTAACTAAACTGAGCTGCTCTTTCAGCTTATGTTTAGCATTATAATCTACTGTTTCTATTCCAGACATGAGGACAACTTGTGTGTCTGCTAGTGGGCATTTTCTTAATTGGTCAATTAAAAGAGAGCTTCTTTGCTTGCAAGCCTTATAAATAAAACCTCTTTTCTATTACATTTTCTAAGGAAATGCTCTTTCTATAAGCAAATTTCTTTTTTTTCATTCCAGATCCTGCTTGGTGTTAATCTTGGTGGCTATATTATATCTTATGACAGCAATGTGATTTCCTAGGGGTTTTGTACATGTTAATAGAGATATTCAACTAGCTATAATACAATAGATACAATTTAATCTAGTTTCCAGTACAAAATAGTTAATTTTCAGAAAACTTGAGCATATTTATATCAAAGGAGAAATTTATATTGGATTTAATTTCTAGTTTGGTGAACAGTTCTGTGATACTCACTTGGAAATAGAAAATTTTGATATCTTTCTTTTGGCCAATTGTGTGGGAGAGGGTTGTACTTTGTGTTGTATATTTCCAGTTGAAGCTTTTAATTTTGTTTGCTGGCTGACAACAATGTTATCATGGGGAAAGACCATACTTACAGACCGGAGTACTTCTCAATATTTTCACACAGGGGTTTAATATTTCTGGGAGTGACTGTTTCATGGGACAATTTCTCATGAATTAGGAGTTGCTGAAATGTCACCTAATGTTATTAGCATCTGTGGTTTGCAAAGCTAATGTAAATGGTAAATTTAATATCAGTTAATAAAGTTAATATTAGATCAAGGTATGATCATGTTATCAAGTGTCTCCTTTAAAACAGTGGTAGGTATTATCATTAGGTGTTATCAAGTGTGCTTCAAATGGCACTTGTGCAGCATGGTGAACTCTCAATGTTAAATAGTTACTTCCATGCTGCAGAAGCAACTCCACTGATTTTAGCAGAACTGTCTGTGAATTAAAGTAGTGGTTGATGGGAATAAAAAGTTATAAGCCATTGTTCTCAACTGAGTATCTGAATCTAATCCTGTTTCACACAATGGATAGCAGTCAATTTGTTCGTTAATCTTGTTCCTATTTTTATACAAATTACATGCAAATTTTTGTAGACCATCTTTCTCTAATGTATCAAGAAACATTCACAGTCTGGTTGCAAAGATTAAGTTTTTCTAAACTTTTGTTTCAGTTGTTTGTTTTTAATTCATCCTTTCTTCTGTTCTTGCAGTCACTCCACTAAGTCTGTGATGGACTTTGTCAATAGCAATGAAAATATTATTTTTGTACACAACACAATACACCTCATTTCCCAGATGGTAGACAATATTATTATTGCTTGTGGAGGAATTTTACCTTTGCTGTCGGCAGCCACATCCCCAACTGTAAGTACAATATTTCCACCTAGTGGTCATATTAGAAATTGTTGTTATTAGTGCCAACTATTATTTCCACCTGACCTTCCTTCTTTAGGGACTCCTGTCTCCTCTCTGCCAATTTCTTACAAAAATTTAAATTTACAATCGAAACTGTTACATTTTGATATACAGAGTGTTTATAAGATTTTGCATTTGAAATGCTAGTTTTATCAGAGAAGTAGTACTAAGTAAGAATAATATTTCATAGGTATTTAATATTTCATTTAAAGGGAAGACCATTAGGACAATGATTCCTGTAATAAAATTGCATGCGTTATTGATATTCATGAATCTGTTTTGCATGGCTGCTATTTGTTTGCATGCCAAATGATACCAGAACTCATCCCCTCACTGCTCTATTTACTTCTTCCTTCAGGAGGTCCTTTCCCCCTTTTTTTTTCCTTTTTAATTTTGTATTGAAAATTACTGATATTTTTATCTGCTCCAATATTCTTAGTAAGTTTTAAGTTCTTAGCAGATCATGGCTCAGGCAGGCAAAGTAGCTTCATGAAAAAGGGAGGAATATTTTGTAAATATTATGTAACTGACAAGAGTAATTACAGTGTTTGAATGTGATGCCCTGTCTGTGCATATAGTATCTGTGACTATTTCTTTCATACTAAATGTTTTATCTTGAGCATCCTGTAAGCATCTGTAGTTAGTATTGGTCTTTGAAATGGAGACAATGAGACCAAGAAGGGACAAAGAGGTTCCTCTGAAATGTGGCTAGTAGGCAATGGAGGCTACAAATATAGTTTGGCAGTAAAAGCTCAGTTCCTTGTTGTAGCCATTCAGCAGCTGAGATTACTTTAATTTGCCTCTACTGTCACTTTTAGTTAGCTAGAAAAAAACTTTTTTTGAATTATTTTATTTGAAAGCTATGAATACATGGCTAGAGATTGGCTAAACATTAATATGACTTTCAGACAGGCAATTAATGGTAAAATGTTGTCTCTTTATTGTTTTCACTGTGTTAGCTGGAAAAAAATTGACTATAAGCGAAAGACTTTAATTGTTCCTAGTCGCAAGAATGACAACAAGGTCCTGATTTTGCAGATGCTTCATTGTAAATATTGACAAGTATGAGAGAATACAGACTGAACCATCTTGAAATGTATGCTGTGCTATCAGTCTTTAGATAAAAGGACATTGGGAGATATTTTTGAAACAAACATCTTATGCATCATTTGAAAATGATGATGTTTTGACATCTTTTATATAAAAATATAAAATGGGCACAGCATTAATTAGGCTGCAATTCCTTTGAATGGTCTTTGAGGGTTTTAGCTCTTATCCTGGTTTATGATACTGCAGAACCATTCTATGGAAAAATAATTTTGAGGTTCACCATTTCCCTCTATTTATTCTGGATGATACATATCTGTGTGAGTGTGTGTAGGTAGTTAGCTGACACAACTTTATAAATTACACACCTATTTGTTAAAATACTGTATGTTGATACTGCCATGCTAAATAACAATGATTTACATGCATTGATACAAAAGAGTACATTTTTCAAATTTGTGTATTATGCATGCACTTCTCCGCTACATGGGGACTGTGTGTATTACTTGAATGCTCTACCGTCTACTTAGGGCAACAAAATAAATTGTGAAATAAAGTAATTCACTAAAAGATCAGTAGCTGGCTTCAAACTCAATTAATTATACTCTATGAAATTAAAAAAAACAAAACAAAGCAAAACAAACAAACAACAAAAAATCAAACCAAAACCAAAACAAAAAACAAAACAAAAAACAAACAAAGAAAAAAAACCCCACTGAAACCCCACAATCAAACAAAAAAAAAACAAACCAAAAAAACCCCCACAAAACCCAAAAAGATCACTTTTGCCCCAAATGTACAAGTAGGGTCAGAAGCAGTTGATAGAATCACAAATTACTCTCACCTCATCTAGACAATAATTTCGTAATCACTTCCACCTAGCAGAGATCTTCTTCCCTCCCATTCAACTCCATTCCTGTTCTGTCATTGCCCATCCATAAACATTAGCAGGAAGGTGGATATATTCATCATTGTGACAAAGAGTGAAGCACATGCTTCCTCCTTCTTAGAGAAGGTATTCTCCCTCAGTATTGTTCTGAATCACAGCTTTGAAGGGAGCAGATGCCCTGTTGTGCATCAGGCCACTTGTGAATATCTATGATATAATGAATGAAAAGAAGTTTCCTACTAGAAGTCTGATTTTCAGACTTCTAGTACTTGGCATCCTTGAACTGCTGTGGAGAAAGTGGATGGATTGCTAGTTTGTGATATATTTCTTCGCAGGCTTGAAAGGGCAAAGTAGTTCAGTGCTAGCAATCAGTTACAGAAGACTGACTTGCTGTCCTCCTTCCAATAGCTGCTAATGGGAAGAGAAAAGAGGTTTGAAACTGGAAGATTTATATGATGTCTCCACTGCATAAAAACACTTAAAGCAGGTCTGCAAGTGACACTTTCTGCCAGAGTAACTCTCAATGGATGAAGGAACCAATAGGCTTTCTCCCTCACTGACTCAAAGACTAACAATCACCAGAGTGGTTGTGGCTGGAAGGAGGATGCTGGAAGTCATTTGCTCCAAAACCCCTGCTCAAGCAGGGCCACCTAGAGCCACTTGCCCAGGGCTGTGTTCAGACAGCTTTTGACTGTCTCAGAGGATGGAGACTCCATCACCTCCCTGAGGAACCTGTGCCAGTGGTCAGTCACCTTCACAGTAGAAAAGTATTTCTTGATTTTCAAGTGGAACCTACTGTGTTGTAATGAATTATATCAATGAATAGGTTTTTATCCACAAGATACAGAGTCCAAGCTTTGTGTTGCATTTCATGAATCCCTTCCAACCTCAACCATTCTTTGATTCTGTGTGATTTTTGTGATTCAGTAATTTAATCTGGGCATGGTATTAGAAGTCCACTCAGGCAGTACTGCACTGCTCTTAGAAATGGAAGCTGTTCACAGACTACATAAGCTACCTCACTGGGTCAGCTCAAGGACCCATCTGCTTTAGCATTCTGCCTCCAATAGTGACTCTTTGCAGCTCACATTAAAATAGGGAAGTCTGAGCAAGTATATTGATTGTTCTACTAAAACTTCATTTCAGCGTTTAGGGTTTCAACAACTAGAGAGTGTGTTTGGGCTGTCATATTTAATAACCACTGAGGAATTTATCCTTCTAGACTTTATCTAATCTTTTTTGAACCTATTTATGCTTTTAGCCTCCATGATATTCTATGGCATTAAGCTTGACAAAGCAATTATATAACATTAGAAACACTTCTTGTCTTTGTCTTTTTTAAGCCTCCTTAAATGCATAAAGTCACAATGTGTCTTACTGTTTATGCTATGAAAGGAATAGTTAATTATGTCTTTATTCAGCTCCATATCATTTATGACTTTGTAGGCTTGAGTCATATCTTCTGGTGTACCTGTTTGAACCCATAGCATCTTCATCTTGTTTAGTCTCTGATCCTCCATATTTCTGTTCTGTGGAGCTTTTCTGAGGTGTCAAAACCTTCATATTTTGTAGATCCCATAGAATACATATTCAATTTATCAACATGTATGAGCTCATTTTACTTAATTTCTTCCTTCTTCACTTTCATGGATGCTGAGTCTCCAATATTGCCACTGAAGGCCTTTTGGGCCCATAATGAAATTTTAAAGTAGTAGTTCTTACTTATTTCCTCTTACGGGGTTTTATTTGTGGCATAGGTCACGTATTTACATATGCTTATAAAAATTACTTTACTTTTTGGTCTAGAATAATGAACTATGAGAACAAGAAGAACAGAGAGTAAAGGTTATTCAATCCTTTAATTTCAGGATGATTATAAAACAGTGGTGGAATTCAGGAAGAGATTAGGGTAAATTTAAGTATCCACTTGAAGTACTTATATATGGCCTAGATTTCTAGCTGGTAGAGAGCTATTCCACAGTGACAAATGATTCAGCTATCTCTGATGTAGACATCTACCTATAGGGTCCAGGGACTGGAATGATTGTTAACCTGGAGCTGGATCCAGCTACTTTTTATGAGATACCTTATTTGTTTTCTAATGGAGAAGATGACAAACAGAAACACATAGTTCCTTTTTTACCTGTCTCATAAGCCTACTTGTCCACAGTTCCTTGACTTCAGTGTGTGAGTCCAAGTTCAAGTAAGTCTGAGTTCATCCTGGGCTGCTTGTTTTTAAACAGTTCTAAATTCTGTTGAAAAACTCTCTTCTCAACAATCTGCTGTAGAGTTGTTCTTACATGTGTCCCATTGCCTCTCATTTTTTTAAAAGGCATTTCACGAATTTCTCATTAGTAGAATAGAATATTAGATGCTTGAATTAATTAATCTATTGGTATAAAAGAGCCAAGGATAAATTTAGAGAAATGACTTTGAGAACATTGGAGCAATTGCAGTTTTGGGTTTTTTCTTCTGTGCAACAGATTCTGCATTGCTTTCCCTCCCTTGCTGAAAAAGCAGTGTTGTCACAGTTTCTTTAAAAAGATGAATGTTTGGAGAATTTCCCATTTCAAAAAGACTTTTTTTCCTTTGCATAGTTTGGATTTGGAGTGAAATGGCAGTTCTTCTGGGCTGGGTGAAAGATTACTTTGTAATTCCTTGTCTGCTGTAGAACGGACAGTCTTAATTATGAAATTTCCTCACTATTAAATTCTTGTAGTAGAAATCTGCCTTTTGTTTTGTTGTTTTGGGTTTTTTTGTTGTTTGTTTCATTTGGTTTGGTTGGTTGATTTTTTTTTAATCCAAACTAGAATGGTCTAAATAGAAGTCTTTAAATATCAATAGGAAAAAAAAAGGAAAATAAAATAAAACATGCATTATTTGTGCAAACAAACCACTCGCAGACCTGTGAGTGATTGAAGAATGCAGAAAAGGTTATGTGTTTGTATGGAATACAGGGGAAAGTTTACTGTAATCCACAATGATCTATTCCCACAATTTTTAATATTTACCTCAATTTCCATTCTATACTACTTCTGTCCCAAAGTCTGTACAAGAACTTACTTCAAATACTGATGGTTTTAAAATGTTGTCAATTGTATATATGAAACAATTTAAAACTGGAGCAAATATTAACAAAAAATATGAGCAGTTCTGTTGGTTTACAATATAAACTGGAGTGTGTTCCACTTGCTTATTAAATTTGGGATATAAGATAACTGCCACAATTAGAGGTAGGTCATAAAATATAAAATACTTTTTTCCTTTTTTTTTTTTCTCCTTTCTGTGTGGGAGATCTTTGAGGCTTTTTAAAAAAGATTACAGCTAGAAGGAAGACATTATTAAGATGGTGTGAAAGTGCAAAAAAGGGGACCTATAAGGAAAAACATTTGCAGAAGATGCTTTCTGTAAATAGAAGCGGGTTGCCAGATAAAACATTTTGTGTACAAGCTAGCAATTTGAAGTAATCATTGCTTGCTACAAGGATAGCAGCTGTGACAAGGACTTGAGGACATTGAGCAAGGCAAAAGAAATTTGAGGAGTTTAAATATACGTGACAATTAAGAGTAAATTTCCAGACCTCTTTGCAATCAGTTTATTTTTTCCACTAATTCTATGAGGTCTATAATTCAATTTTTTACTAGCTGACTTCAAAACATCAGCTCTCAAATTGTGATCTGAGGGCTGCTGGTGTGATATGAATGGTCCACAAAACTCCATTAGACATTTAAAGATAGTCTCATTAGTTCTGTGGATTAAAAGCCGAGATGTAATTCCTGTGTATAGTATTAGCATTACCATGTTCAGGACTCATGTGATGCCACAGGTGCTGCGTGATCTATAACAATTCTGAGAATCACCAATGGCACACTCATATGAGAATTGTCAGCTAGTAATTGAGATATAATAGCCACAGGTTAATTCTTGAGATGCATCTAGCTACAAAAGGAAGAAGACTCATTTAAAAACTCTTCGAGTATGGTATTTTCTGTCCCAAAAGGAAAGAAAGCCATCATTTCAGCTTGTTTTTCTTTCTTTTAGATTAGATTTTTCCACTATTTAAATGACAACAGTACTGACATACTCATGAAAATTCAGTTTCTCTTTTTAAAACAGAACCAGTGGAAACTTAAGAATTTGTTCTTAGCCCACTGTGATAATAGAGAAAGTACTTCTACCTAAAATTAAAATGTAAAAATTTAAAACATATATTTAACTGTGAACATTGGAATTTGAAGACTAACTCGGTCTAAAGGACTTAGTAAATCTTGATTTTTTTTCTGTGGTTCAAAAACATTCTAATATCTAGTTTGATATTGGTTTACATTGGAGATATCACACCCAAATGTAATATAATAGTAAGCTATCTTGTGTTGCTTCTAAGGAAGCAACATTATGCATGAAGAACTAGTTTACTTTTCGTGATTTATATTTGTTTTGTCAAAGCATTTTAAACATATTTTCCTACTCATACAAGGACTAACTACTTTATTACATTTCAGTTGAATGGCTTGTAAAATGCTCATTTCTGTGTAATCAGTTGAAACATTACTTTGGTTTACATTGCTTCATAAAATTACTCTATGTACTATATAAAAGATGTACATTGGTTGGAAGAATCACTGTTTACATGAAATGCCATAATACAAGATTTAAAGTTTTCCTTGTGCATAGCTATTTTAGAAGTCTTTATTTTCAAATGTTCATGCTGAGCTTAAATTGTTTGCTGTTCTAATTAAAAATTAAACAAATGTATAATTCCAAGATACTAATTTGTTTCAATTTACCTTGCATTTTTAGTTAACTTAAATAATTTTCTTTTTTCTTTTATTGTTGTGATCTGTTGTCTGTTTTGTCTGTTGCATGTCCAGGGTTCTAAGGTTAGTATTGCGGCTGTAAGTTTCAGTTTTTTTCATTTTCAAAAATACCTTATTTTTGATCATTTAATGTTTTGGCTCTTTTTTTGTTGTTATTATTACTATTATTTTTCTATATCATGTAGTAGGATGTGAATAGGAATATATTTGATGTCATATAACTTTTCCTACCATATTTCCCTTGAGTAACTTAATGCATTGTCAAGTCTGATGCTTACTGTTACTACTGGACTGAATGTAGTCCAGTCTGTGAGCTAATTTGAGTTATAAATGCAATTGTCAATAGAAAAACTCTTTATGTCCTGAACATGTCAATTATATGGGAGACTTGTTACTTAAAAGTACACTGAGTAGTCATGAAATGGTGATCAGTTCACTTTTCAAAGAGTTATGGAGCTACCCCTATCTAAAATATTGCTAATACCTGAAGGCAGCTTGATCAATTCTGGAGCTTATTTTAAATGCTATTAGAATATCAATGTGCTGTATTTAACAGGTTGAACTGATGGTAAGTTTGGTGTAAAAAAACGTGTTAGTTGGTTTTTTTCTTCCATCTAGCAGAATTTTAGGGAGATTTGTAAAAAAAATAAGCGATTTTTTTTAAAATTCAAAGTTTGCTAAAATCTTGCTACAAATACACTAAAGTGTTATATTAAATGAATTTATTACATAACTTACAGAAATAAAAATAAAAAGACAATAAGTATCCTGAGAGGTTTAAGACTATGTTTGACACAATAAAGTTGAAAAATCAACAGCAGGCAGTCAGTAGGCTGCAAGCAAGCCTGGTGTTATTTCAAGCATGAGTTTGAAGTTCAAGTTTCTATAACCACCTATGAGTTTTTCTAGCAGACTGTTATGCAAATGTGTTTTCTTCGGGTGAGTACTTTCAAAAAATCATGTTCTAGTCTGTTATAAAAAAACAGCAAGTTATTTTTCCAAAATGTAGGAACACAGCACAAACTAAACAGGGGAGCCCTGGCTAAAGAAGATAGGCCAAAAAATCTTTCTTCTGAGAGTTGTCATTTTACTGTTTTTCTGATCCTGTTGGGCAGTTCAGACAGATGACAGCCCTTCCCAAATCACTCATGTAACCGACGTGTTACATCCTTAAGAGAAATTAAATGAAGGGGTATCTATCATTGTGGTGACACATGCCACTTTATATCTTTCGTCTTTCAAAACAGTTGTTTCCTTAATACTGATTGGCAGAGTTTACACTTTTACAATTTTGGATGTAAAAATATTCTAAAAAGTAAGTCATGAGGGAGGCTAGTAATTTTTAAGAGTATGGAAATTAAGGAATTTTTGATTTTCTGTATTTTTTTCCTTTGAAAGGAAATGACCTTAAGAGCATAAAATTATCTTTTTATAAATACTTTTAAGCAAATAAATAAAAATAAACAAGCACACTGAAAGTAGTACTTCTCAGTTCTCAAAGGGACTAAATTTTGTGTTCAGAAAGCCTTGCAATTGGAAATCTTGTTGACAATCAATAAGAATCAGCCACCTGTAGACAGTTTTTAAAATAGTATTTAGGCATATAATTCCAGACACAGACAAGTACTAAATACCTTTTTAACTTTTGCCTAAATCCAGAGGTAAAAGTGTTTAAACAGATATGTATGTTTTTATTTGGGCTGACTGTTTCCTCATTTATCTCTGCTGTTAGACACTTGAATGTATTTGAAAACATGACTCTGCATCTAAGCATCTTTTTGGAGAAAAACATGATCCCCTTTTAGTTTTCAGAAATATTAAACTTAGTCAGCCTTCTTCTGGGGTTTCCTGCTAAGGAGAGTCCAACAGTACATCAGAAAAGAAATGGCCACTCTCTGGGAGTGAGCTGACCCTAATATCACTTATCACATTTTTACTTCCCCCCTTGTTGTTTTCTTCGGGGAGCAAACATACTCACTTCTGAGCTACAGGAGAATTGAACTCTGTCAGGTTTCTGAATGCTGTAAGCATTCTCAGGGAGAATTGATTCATGGAAACAGAGCAAAACTGTCTGGTTTTTCCCACTCCACTCCTCACATTTGCTTGTTTATATATAAGAAATGTAAAAGATAAACAGAGATTAATTCCTTTCATCCATTACCTGTCTGCTTGCATAACCTATGGAAGAATGTAAGAGTATATTGCACCCTGATACACCATGCATTATTTTACAATCTGCATACATTGTCTTTATCTAATTGCTAATAACTTTCTCATTTATATTAGACTTTTTCTCATCTATTACAGCATGTAAATGTAAATAATTTTCTCACTCCTCATGCTGTCTTTGAATTTCATAACTTATGCTAATGATGTCAGTAGGAGATTTTTAAATAACTTTTCAATGTATCTGTCATTAAACATAATTTAGATTTCTATGCATACGAGCCATCTTTATATTTCAGTTGTGTTCAAACTGTTTAATTTGATTATCTCCTTTTAAAGACTGAATTGGAAAATATTGAAGTGACACAAGGAATGTCAGCAGAGACAGCAGTAACGTTTCTCAGCCGTCTGATGGCAATGGTTGATGTACTAGTATTTGCCAGTTCTCTAAATTTTAGTGAGATTGAAGCTGAAAAAAACATGTCTTCTGGAGGTCTAATGCGACAATGCCTAAGGCTTGGTAAGTTGGCAGACAGTACATTTTAAATAATTACTTACAGATCAATGAAGTATGGATGGATTGAATAGTGACACGTAGGAAAGGGCTCGTAGAGTATGATGTGAAAAATTAAAATCCCATTTGTTATTGATTTGATACATTTTTAAGGTTGATTCAATTTAACCACAAAAAGGACATCTGAAATAGTTCTTTCTTATGTGTTTCAAGCTGTATGTATTTGGGGGGAGTAAAAATGTTAAATAGAAGTAAGTAATTGGATAAATGTTTTTTATCTTAAAGCTGCTTTACTACCTGCATGTTGCAGGTGTTCTTATCCAAGTCTCCATGAATTTTTAAGACTGTTTGTAGGCTCTGTAAGATAAGAAGCATTGGATGCTTGTGCAGGCACTGTAGACCTAAATATATGTGGTGTATGGCACCTCTCTTCACTATTTGCTATTTGCTTTATAATGTTACAATTCATGTAGGAAATTTAAAAATTATTAATATGACAAACTATTATATGCAAGCTATATCACTTTATCTTTGTAAACATTAAATTTTGACTATCATCTGGCATGATGCTGATTTTGCTAAGGTTATGTTCTGCATACTTTTTCATCTCTCAAATGATGAATTTTTTTGGTAAGCCAATTATGTCTTGTTATTATTCATACCATTTATTATGTCATTGATAATTTTACTTTCCTGTTAAAAACTTGTAGTGTATTCTCAATTATCAATCTTTTTATCAAATTCCCAATAACCACCTTCTATTTGTTTCTATTCTATCTGTACATAAGTACTTTCAGATTTTAAGTGTTGATAGCTGATCAATAACATATGAGAGCTCCAATTCAAGGACTAATAATTTTTACATTTCAATATAGTGATACAGCAGTTACATAAAATATTTAGTTGTTCAACTAAAGAATGAAACAAATAAGTCACCATAATCCTTTCTTAGTACTGACAGAGTCTCTAGTGTGAGAACTATATTTCATTTACTATTTGGACAGATCAAACTAGTTGTAGAGAGTGGTAATTGGTGTTCTGGATATAATAATATTCTAATTTATGGCATTTTCATTTCTTCTTTTTAGTTTGTTGTGTGGCTGTGAGAAACTGCTTAGAATGTCGGCAAAGGCAAAGAGAGAGAGTGAACAAGACGTCATTAATTGGCAGTAAAACTCAAGATGCTCTTCAGGGTGTAACTTCAGCAGCAGCAACCAAGGTAACCCAGTCTTCAGTAACCAACAGCAATTACAAGTCTGAATCACTGCTTTTAGGATCAGAAAATAATTGTAACTGCCTTCTCAAATATCTGGCAAAAGCTTAGGTTTTTGCTATTAACTGATTGAGGGTAAAAGTATGTCGGGGGGGGTAGTTTGAAACAAGAAAATTTTAATGCAGTAGTGTGACTGGAGAAATCTATTTCGAGAAGAAGTCTCCTTATTCACACTGATCATTTATGGTTGCATAGCTATTTTATTCTGTGAGAGCACTTGCAGTTTTGATGAAATCCTGCAATCACATCTTTGTTGGTGGAACATCTGAGTCCCAGTAACTTCAACACATCTTTGCATGCATATTAGGCATCAGTACTTACTATCTGATTTGAGGAACAAAACTTATTAAATATTCAATTATAGTTTAGTTTTTCCAGTTTCATTAATCCATTGTTCATCTTTTTTCTTTTCTTTTTTTCTTTTTTATTTTTTTAACTTTAAGACTTTGCGAATTCCGAGACTAAAATCTGAAAAAATTTAGCATAGCCCATGGCTAAAATACAACACATTGAATGATGTAAAGGATTCCTTTTTTTTTTGCTACTATATTTTCATTACTACATTCAGTAGTTTTTCTTCTCTAAAGACTTTCTCAGATAGCCTTCACAAACTCAACTCTCTTCACAATATTATTTCATTAAATCTCACAAAAACATTACATTTTTCCACACTGTCACATTCAGTGCAAAGCAAATCAGTATAAGGAGGCTTCTAGGTGTTCAAGCATCATTTGTAATACATTATTATTTTTTAAAGAAAACATACTACTCTATGTTTTTTTAATAGCAGTTATTCTGTAAGTAGTCTGTAATAAGTCTCAGTAAAATTAACATAAATTATTTTTTTAATATTTCTGTTGAGCATTTTCAAGCATAACACACATATTCAAAATATTTTATTGTTCTATGAAACAGCTGTAATCTGAAATGAACTTTTGTGTGCAAATTATTATCTTAACTGTGGGTAGAAATACAGTTATTCTGAGCTACTGGAAAGATGTAACAATTTATATCTAAATAAGTAGTATTAAGAAAATAATTCAAAACATTGCATTATTTCTAGAGCCCTTGTCTGAGTATTATGTTGGAAGTATATTGGTACTAACATATCATCTAAGATTGATGTAATGTCTAAAAAAATGTCAAATTAGGGTTTTAACAGAAATACTTTGATACTTGAACGACAAAAATCTCACTACTTTTTGTTTTTAGACTCCCCTTGAAAATGTCCCTGGCAACCTTTCTCCCATAAAAGACCCTGATAGGCTTCTTCAGGATGTTGATATTAATCGTCTACGAGCAGTTGTTTTTCGTGATGTGGTGAGTAATATGTGTTTTATTTCTTTCTTCTGCAAAATCATCACTTATATTTTGATTGTACCAGAATCAAAAATATCCTTGATGTGTTGCACTTCATATATTTTCTGCAAACCATCTGCTCGTGACTTTGTAACCACCAGCCGCTTTTTACACTTTCAAATCATATTGGTTAACCTTTTTGAGATTAGTAGTTAACTGTGTTTAACACTCAGCCTTGATCTCATATTAGCCAACAGCCAGAATAATTCAGTTATGACCTATATTGATTAAAATTATATTACTAAAAGTGTCAACTACTTGTCCAACCAGAGTAGGAGGAAGATTTATTATATCTATTACAGAACTGCAGCAAGTTGATTTATAGACAATTTTTATTTCTGCTAAACATATGCATATACTATATATAAATACATATAAAACTGGTTTTCAGATTTTTTGGCAACCGTTTTTGTGTTTTAGCACAAAAATTCACCACAATATGTTTGGTTTTGAATGTAGTAGGATAGGAATTATTATTTTATATATGCAAATATATATGTTATGTATAAACTTCTGCAGCCTGAGTCCAAGTGGTTGGAAGTGAGGACCAAAGTTAGAAATAGCTTTAAAAAGAAGAAAGTAGAACTTGACACACAAAAAATTATCTGCTGGGATGACCTGATCATCTTGAATTTGAGTGGCAATCTTCTGTCACCTATTCTCTTCTTAAGTAGTGGAGAAGGGAATACCAGAAAATATGTTTCTGGCATTTCTGTGAAATAACTTAGTAAGAGAATTTCTAGTTATTTTAAGAATTGCAAAAACATGCAACCAAGTTAAATAACACACAGAAAACATGGAAAGTAAGCACTGGATTTGTAGCAGAAAGTACATACTTGTGGAATTGAGGCAAGGTGAAACCACTATAGGAGCAGATAGAAGCTGAAGTCTTAATTCTGTCAGGTTGAATTTTACACCATAATAGCAATAATAATAATAAAAGACATTTCAGTGTAACTACAGCAACTTAAATTCAATCAGGATGATATCTAAGCCATAGATGACAATTGCCATTGAACAGCCCACTATGTGGGAGGAAGAGAAGACAGCTAAGTTGTTGTGATCCTGGCATTTACTTAAATCAGAGTCCTGGAAAACTAGAATTGCTGCTGACAATCCCTTTGAAGGGGAAATTTGAATGTACAAGCTGGGATTTATTGCTGGAAGAAAAGCAGTGGTATATTCCCCCTGCTTTTACAAGTTACCAGAAGCTGTTATGCCTACTTATGCATCCAGTGTCAGCCAGAGAAGCATCAGTGAGCTTAGTTTTCCCTCTCAGTAGTAGTACTCTTCACATTCTTGTGGCAGGGACCTTCAGAGTCTCATCCTTGGGGCAACAAAAGACAGTTGCCCTTGCTGCAGGGAAGTCTTGAAAGCACTCAGAGTACAGTCAGGCCTCTGTTTTGAAAAGCTCCACAGATCCAGAGATTTGTGCAGTTGCCAAATAACCTCCAAAATTCAGTACTTAATACGTGCTGTGTGCATAGTACTCCCCTGAAAATACATGAAATCTTCTAAGTAATCTATTTGCTGCTATGCTAATAGAAACAACATTTCAGAAAGGTATTATTTATTAAGCTTTGTAATGATCTTGTATGAAAATTCTTTGGAAATATCCAATATTACAGATGTGTTTCTTTTTCTCAAACACAGGACGACAGCAAACAGGCTCAGTTCTTAGCTTTGGCAGTAGTCTACTTTATTTCTGTTCTGATGGTCTCCAAATACCGTGATATACTGGAACCCCAGCGAGAAACTGCGAGGTCTGGGAGCCAGGCAGGTAGAAATATCAGACAAGAAATAAATTCACCGACAAGTACAGGTAAATTTGTTTTCTTTAAATGTTACTTGAATTTTTTTTTAATACTGTAATTATTTTACAAAGTGTTTTTAGTGAGTAGCGTAAGATCCTCATAGGAAATTACACACTACTTTTTCCTATATAATGATTTTGTTTTATAAAATACATTGGCATATTTCAAATATTCTGTGTATTTACTTATATGGTATTACTAATTTTCATTGCTTTTTTGTGTCTTTATTTTTCTTAAACTTGAAAATAATTAGAAGGACACAGGGTTCCTGATAGAGTTCTAAGTTGTAAAGTAGAAGATAGTTGACCAACACAACTTCCTGAATCTGTTTTGTGTTAGGAAGAACAGATATCTTTAACTCTATACCATGAAAGGAATGAACAGCAAACACAGCTGCTTGCCCACATGAACTCCTTTTGTTTGAGTGAGGTTTGTAAAAGGGTAGTAGTGGAGGACTGAGTACTTTCTTGGAGTCCTGCTGTGTTGGTGCCTGCATTTAAAAGCCTACAGTAACAATGTAATAAAAAGGAAACATTGCTATTGCCTCTTTTATTGAACTGTTAGTGATTTTTACTAGCAGTAGTAGTGTTTTTACTGACATATGTTCTTCAGCCTGAAAGGGAGAGAGTCTGTTAGTTGTCAGAAATTAGGAATGCAAACTTTACCCTGCTTTGTTTCAAATATTTTGCACTGTCAGTCTGGTGGGTTTTCTTCAAGTCTGATTGGATTGATTATAACTCTACCTCCTGTGTTAAAAGAGCTGAAAACAGTAGCTGAATTTGTCCATGAAACTTTTAATGTATGCTTTTGTTCTTGTATTGATCTTTAATTATTTTCTTCATTTATGAAGTTGCTAATTTTCATTCATCATAGAATTTTTCTTCCAATTTACGTCATATTTACATTGTCCTTATTTTGATTCATCATGATGTTTTAATTTGCTACTTTTACCTAATAGTTAAAGTCAATGTGCTTGTAGGCTTTCTGTTTTAAATATTAAATGAATGTTGTCAGTTTTGAGAAATCATAGTTTTTGTGCCTTCTTGATTATATGTTATGGTCCTGCACTAAGAAACGGCTAGTTTCAGTGAACTATTTCATCCATTCTTGTCTTGCCTATTTGCATATATATATATATATATATCCGTGTCTCTTTTTCCCCATAAATGTTGCTCTTGAAGTGCCCAAATACTAGGTGTGCTCTTTCCTATCTCTTGATACAGAACTTGTTTTTTCCCTTTAGAAATGCCTTTTTTTGTTGATAATACCATATTTGCATGTTTCAATGAGATAGGATTTCTGTCATGGATCCACAGTGGACCAGGCCACACATGAATACTAGCTGGCTCACATTTGATTCCATGATTTTCTCCACAGTTGTGGTCATACCATCTATCCCTCACCCAAGTTTGAACCATGGATTCCTTGCCAAGTTAATTCCTGAGCAGAGCTTTGCCCACTCATTTTACAAAGGTAATATTAACATCATCTCCTAACCTGTTTGGGTGTTCTTATTTAATGTAATGCAATTCAAGAACTAACTGTGATGTTATTGTTGATAAATAAGTATACGCCTCAGGTTACATGGAGATCAGACCTGATGATACCTTTAAAACTTTAACTTCCTGCCTACATTTCTTTAGAAAATTTCTCTCCCACTTTTACTACCATTTATTATCTTTATTTATTATGAAATTAAATAATTTTAAAAAAGCACTCAGGAGGAGGGAATGGATACAGGAAAATTTAAATGCTTTTGGTTTGTGGTTATTCTGCTACAATATTAGGTCCATAAAAATCAAATCAGGCCTACTTTAAAAATATTGCATACTGCATGAAGTATGTAGTACTTTTGTAGTATTCCCTTTCCCTGTATCTTTTGCTGTTCTTTTGCCTTCCTTTCTCGCTTTTTTCCTTGCCTTCTTGATGGTATGTAAACCTCTGATATTGTATGTGAATTATTTTATGCCTGTTAGTTAATGTGCTGTGCTGTGTTTTTCTTGAAGGAAACCAATTTTGTTACCAGAGCAACTATTATATGTTTTGGGGCTGCTTTTTGTTTTGTTTGTTTGTTTGTTTTTATAGATACTATATAAGGTAGCAGTATGGGCTTTTTCTTTCATTACTTGAAAAAGAGAGGGTTACCTGAATGTAACATGTCAAGTTTGCATGTACAAAATGTTGCATTTCCATGTTTATTTGCCTGCACTGTGCTGTGAACAAATTTAATCTGATGAAAATGTTCTTGGTATAACTTTATAAAAATTTTTTGTGGGTAAAAAGGCTGATTTATATAAAGCCTAAGCGATTTAGAATGCATCCAGTTTATAAAGAATAGTTAACTTCCTACTTCAGTAATAAAGTGACTTATGTTCATCATATGCTGTTCTGGGAGCATTATGTTAAAGTGTTTATTACATAAACTATCACTATGTTAATCTGTCATTTCTTAAACTTTGGTGTGTGCATGTATGTATATAATAATTTGTTTTATTTTATAACAGTGAGTAAGCCAGGCTTTATGATTTTGATTCGTAAGACTATTGTCTGCCATACAAAGAAAAAATATTTTATATTACTCAGTTTCCTGATTTGTTGTTCTGACATTGTTGCATTTGTATGATTGATCCGTCATTGATAGAAAAAGGAATAATTTGATCTTAATGCCGAAGAGTACTACAGTACTATGTGGTACTACACAATAAATCCCTAAAATTTCATTAAATATTGATTTTTCTCCTTTTTTTTTCTTTGTGCGTTTTCTGGGTTGGATTTTTTGTTTTGTTTTGTTTGTTGGGGGTTTTTTGCATTTAGAGCAAGTTTCTACGTATCAGACATAGGATATTTTATTTTTAACCACTTTTGCTTGAAAATTAGGATTGACTAGGCTGCCTCAAAACACACTTACTTAAGGACATTTTAATTTTTATTAAATTTAATACAGTAAAATACATTATGCAACATAAATGGCATTATATTTCTATTTGTAAAAAGCTCAACATTTGATATAATGGATGGCAAAGGCAGGGGAAAAACAAATAGTTTTTCTTCTTATCCGCATATAGTACCTGGATAAAATATATGTATCAAAAGCAGAAAAAAAAGTTAAGAAGAAATGGCAGCAGTCATACTAACTCATCAAAATATGTAACATAAAGCATTTTTTAAGAATTGGGTCTTCTATAATATTGTCTATAGTACTTGTTTTACCTTGAGTTAAAGTAAAATAGTTTTGTTTTTAAAATAGTTCAATAGAGCTATAGTGAAACTGTGAACAGGATACAAAAGAAAACTGTTTTAGTTTTAGAAATAAATTATTCAATAAAGGTTATGTTATCTGTAGTTTTATTTGTTGATATCATCACATCCTTCAGGGTTTTAAGTTTCTGAGATCTTAAACTCTTACACTTAACTGCTTCACCCATTAGAGAGGAAAAATATTTCTGCTTTTTATATTCTGACCCCAGTTCCTCAGTTTTGAACATTAGCAAGAAGTTAAAAAAAAAATTGCCAACACTGTTAGAAAAGGCTAAAAGTCAAAACATTTTTTCATTTTGAGAATCTTGAATTCCAGTGGCTAAGCCAATTGTTTTCTTTTTAGAATCCAACTTGCTTTCAGATGTTGGCAGCTAGCATGTAATATTTGAATATTACTTTCAACTCTAATGCAGTTTAACTTAATACAGAGTGGTTTAATGTAGCATTGAAAATTAAATACACAACTTTAAAGCAATGTCCTGTTCATTTAAAAAATTATAGAAATTGAGTTGTTACCTGGAAGTGAAGTCTTTTATTTTATTAATTCCACATGACACTAAAGGGATATGAAGAATTCGTTATTTGCCAATACAGCAAATTGTGTCATAATTGTTAGAACTGTACAGGAAAAGATCTCTATAAATTAAAGAAGAAGGATTGGTTCATTAAAAGAAATTAATATATCTATTGCTAGTAGATGGAATCTAATTAGAAACTTGTCAGGGGAAGGATAAGATAGAAGTAGGTATATTACCAGTATTTAAATAAGATACCCATTTTGTTCTTTGTGATTGTTTGTGGTTTTTTTCTTTACATAGGGTGATATCTTTAATTAAAATCTGTTTAAGATTGTTTTAGACCCTACTTGTCTCAAGCACAAGTATGTGATTAGTGTATCTTTCTTATGAGTAGCTGCAGCTGGTGCCAAGTGCAGGTTACAAGAATTTTAACATCATTATACTTGATAGAAACTTTGCCTAGTTTATTAATGTTGTTATATATGGATAAAGCATAGTATTGAATCAAAAGACTGTAAACATATTTTGTGGGGAAATATATTCTAGCTTTACTTACAGATGTTTGTAGGTGGTAAAATAATACTTTTTTAACTGATATTCAAATATTGTTCATAAGCTAGATGTTATGGTGCTTGAAGATGCTTCCCAGGAAAGAAAGACAATTGCAGTAGTGCCATGACTACCATTTAACAGTAAAAATATTTCCTTATAATGTTCTATACTTCTGTATTTATGTTTCTTTCTAAGATGATTCATGGGGAGGAGAAAAATGTATCTCTATCTGTAGATTTACTCCATGTCATGTTTGTTGAAAGTACTTGGGTTTCTCCTCCTTCTTTCTGGTTACTTTAAAGGGTCTGCAGTATTTCTAAAATAATCAGTGCTTAGTTGGACAAAGCAGAACTTGTCAAATGAAAAGAAAGCTCCCTCTCTTCAATTTAGCTCGTATTTAGTATTACTCCTTGAAATAATTCATTATCACCAGGAAAATAGCAGATAGCAGGAAAATAGCAGATCAGAACTATTCTCTTGCACCTGAAGGTTGTCTGTGAAACACAGTCCTACAAAAGTAATGTTGCCAGACTTGCTTTTTTCTGTTCATAATACCAAAGAATTAATTAAATTAAGAATTAATTAATTAATATAATATGGAGGTGTAGTAAAGATGGGAATAGCATTAAAAATTATTAACCAAAAGCTCTGCATTGGATTTTCAGTTTTTCATCTCAAAA